AAAGTCACTCTAAACAATAAAACTTTAAAACTTCACTGGTTGTCTATGATAAACACTTGCTGGCTCGATGTAGTGGCATACAGCTGTAATGCCAGCACTCTGAGACAGAGACAGGAGGACTGCAAGGTAAAGCCCACCCAGCAACTTAGTGACTTAACAGGATCATGTCTCAAAATAAATTATGGAAAGGCTAGGGATGAAGGTCAGTGCAAAGACCATGGGCTTAACCCCAAACCACCACACACACAAACACACACACACACACACACACACACACACACACACACACACACGGCACCCTTTCGGTAAGATAAGACAGATCCTTCTGCCATTTTGCCTTTGAAAACATTTAACAGCTACCTTAGTATTTTGCTATGAATTTAAATTCTGGAATTCTTAGGAAAAACAAAGGAAGAGGTTTCCCAGAAATTTCTTTGCTCTGCAAGGCATTTCTTGGGTTGATGCTGAATCTGTGCCAGGATTTCTCTACCACCTGTGAGTGCAGTGTCCCAAATTTTACTGCAACTTCTGAGGTAGTTGAAAGAGTTTTGGCCCAGGCTGGACACTGTAGCTGGAAAAGCCTCAGCCGGAATCAAGGAGCTCCTATCTCCCCCACCCCTAGGAATCTACCTATGGCTCTATCTTCCCCACCCCTAGGAGTTTACCTATGGCGCCAAAAGAATACCAATGGGCTACTGGTGCATCCCTAATGCCCATCAGGCACCACCCCTAACCTAAGCTACATGTATGCCCCCACTCCACGTGTTCCACGGAGAGATCGCTGACCCCAGGGGGAGATGCCGCACCCCAGGGGATCGGGGGTGTCTCTCCCCGCATTCTCAAAATAAAGGTCATTTATATTTCATACTTATCTTTTCAGCCACCACCGGTCCCCCACAGTTCTATCAGTAGTGTCAAGGTGGTGAGTGGATCAAAAACAATGACCCCACTGGTACCAAACTGCAGGAACCTGCGCCGCGCTATCACTGCTGGGGACTCAACTGAGAAGTTAGCAGCCCTGGCTCTGACAGTGACATGTACTCCAAGAAGGGGAAGTTTTTAGCTGAGCCTAAGTGCACCTCCACCTGGTGAGGCCTTTGTCAGGTCTTCACCTGGCTGGATCCTTTTTGTCACGCAGATCTGTACTTAAGTACCACCGACCCAGGAAGGCTTTTTCCAACCAACAATCCTAAAGTGGCTCTCTTCCTCACAATCCATCACCCTTGCTTATTAAGTTTTTATTTTTCTTTTTTTGCAACTGTATTCTTTAGTTATTTGTTTACATATTTATTTTTAATCTCCTTTCCCCATCTCCAGCCCTGCCATACTGCAGTCAGGTCCATGAGAAGCGTGCTGTGATGTTTTGTTCATTATTAAATATCTAGCTTTTGGAATATCACTGTAGATAGTAGGTGCTTAGTAAATGGGCCGAGTGTTTAATTATCAGGGAAGCTGTTAAGAAGAGCATTTTGGCTGAAACTGTAAAAATGAGCCACATGGAACTCAAACACAGCGTGATTTAGTATTAGAGAGAAAGGTGGGACCCTTTTCTAGATATTTCTCATATATCACGCAGTAAAGAGCTTCTAAGTCAACATCTGACAGGGGAATCCACTGAAATCGCTGAAGTAGATCACATCACTATAGAAGCAAGAGATGCAATCTTATATTCTCACTGAATTAAGGATAGGAATTTATATTCTCACTGAATTTGAGGATAGGAAAAATATTTCCTATCCTTAAAAGGAAAAAACAAGTGTTGAGAATTTTAGACTGTAAATCATTCAGGCACAAAACCATACATTTGCCCATTTCATTTTGGTGAAAACAAAGCAGTTGTTGGCACTTTATTCCTGTCGCACCTGCTCTAGCTTGCCCAGTATAAACACCTTAGCCAAGAAGTGCAAATCATAATCTTTTAAACAATAAGAGAGATAAGTGCCATCTTCAACTGGCAGGAAACATTTTCAGTTAATCTAGGAAATCCAATAATAATTGTAAATGGGTAAGTTTAGTAAAGCTTTGTGCCTTGTAAACATTACTGTGAAATAGGAAGGCAAACATTAAGTGAAACATAATAAAGTAATAAATAATAATTATTTTTCCATTCACTGATCTATTTATTAGAATGACAACAACACAATATACTTCCTAACAATCTTATTTGGTTTTCTGGTACCTTCAATCATATTTAAAATTCTTTTAGGCACAACCAAGAACAACATAAATAAATAATGCCATTAAAAAAATCATTATGTATGAAAATTTATAAGATGACGCAACTGTGCTTGAGTTAAAAACCGAAGTGTTGGCATCTATAAATGTTGAAATGTGTCAGATATTCATGTTAGAGAAGAACAATTGCATTGTATTGTTCCAATCTTATAACTAAGATTCAAATGGGTTAAAAATGATTAATTTGCCCTGGCCTATTAAAATAGAAGACACTATAGTAGTAATCTTTCTGAATAGCAATAGTGTTTTAATTATAAATGCAGAGCTCACTATTTGCTCAAGAGTGAATGACAATTAGCCCGATCCTATTGCAACTGTTAATATTATAGGTACTAAAACAAATTGCAATACTAAAACAGGCTTCCAATATTTCCCTTTAGTTTATGATCTCATGGATACTGTATTCAAAATATATTTAGTCATTTTAAGTCCTAAGAAAGAAGGAAAATGGCTCCTGAACAGTCAAAATAATTAAATAAAGGTGTTGCAGGATGAATATTTCACGGCATGCCCCAAGCACGAAATCACTAGGAGATGAATCATGTTCTAATATAATTGAGCCAGAGAAAGATTCCAAGCAAAATACTTTAGTTGGCCTCAAAACAATACAACAACAACAATGACAACAACAACAATGACAACAACAACCACCCTCTCAGCACTGAAAAGGTTTGACTGTGCAGACAATACTGTACAACATTAGAAAAACTGCTGGAATAAAGCAACTATTTACACAGATGGGTCTGAATCTCAAGGTTCTTCATATCGGAGCAAAGCTCTGGGAGATTTTAGGTTTTGCAATATCTTCCTCTAACACACCTGCAAAGATCCTACCATACAAACTCAATGTGCACTTGTCATTGTGGGTCGGCTTGGGTTCAGGTCCGTTGGTATTCAGAGCTCAGAGGTTACCAATGGAAGACTAGGGAGAAATAGTAGCATAAGCATTTTCTGATTCTCAGAATTTCTAAAATACCTTTTGTTTCAGAGGCGCCAATGAATTCGTGATAGTGAAACTACACCTCTAAACACAAACCTTGACCTGCATTCTGGAGTAATTACAAAGAAAACCCTATTTTTGACAGTACCGAGCACAGAGGGAGAAAAGAACTGTTCCTCTACAAGCTTTCTCTATATATTTAGAAATATGGCTTAATTTTTAAGGCTCAAAGACCGCATTTTTAAACCGTCTAAAGCAGTTCAGATTCTATATGAGAAGAAACAGAACAGCAAATTTTTCATTAAACATTTGTATCCTTTTTAAAGACATTCTTTTGCATATCTGTTATTGCATTTTTAAATACGAATTGGTTACCAAGGAAACAGGTTCCGGCCCAATGTTAATTTGAAACTAAAATATATTTGAGAAGTTAAGTTCAAAGGAAAGAGCTCAGGAAATAATTTTGAAAAATGCCAGAATTTGGAACTTACAGAACCATAACTGTATGGTCTGCACTGAACCATTCGAGGTGCTTGATTTCATTTAGTGAAGCTCTATATTTCTAACAGGGCCATTTATGTTTAATGTTTCCCCTTTAAAAATGGTAACTTCTCATCCCTTAAATTGCATATACATATATATGTGCCAATAACGTATTTACTCTTGTATATTATCTGAGATTGATTTTGGAAGCATGTAAATTTTTATTTTCACCTTTCTTACAACACGTTAAAGACCGCTTCTTAAAATTTAAATATTTTAAATATTTCTGATTAAGCTTATTTGTGCTCTTTGAAATTGTCTCTAAAAACCCATTTATTTTTAGTTTCAAGCTAAAATAAAGCTGAATCATCAGACTTTTCAAAAAATTCTTTTGTTGTCTAGTGGCGCCACACCTATCATATAACTGATTTTTAAAGAAAAGAATCATCACACTCTTAAAGCAGAATCATTTTATAAGTTTATAAAAACTATATATTTATATAGCATCTGAATAGGAAAGGCTATCCAATTTAACACCCCCCAAGTATCTTATTTTTTATTTTAAAAGTCACATTTTAATCTATGTAATGCTCTTGCTGCATGGCTTAAAAAAATCTATAAAACATGCAAATTTCAACCTACCTGTATGTATCACTCAATGCAATGCTAGCATGACAAGACAGCCATTTTTATGTAGGCGATGGAGACCAACTGATTTCTCCGTCTTCTTGCTCACAAGTTTTAGAAGCAATTGTCACACACACCAAAAATCATACGCAGAACAGCTTGAATGTACTGTGATCCCAAGAAATGAATTTATCAACAGGAAACAGGATTGAAAAAAGTAGTTTCTTATCCAAGGTTTCTCTGAAGCTGCAACCAAGGAGGTGGTGTGTTAAATTTTTTTCCCTTGCTCCTCTGAGAGTTCAAAGCTCAGAGCTGACCACTGCAAAGGCCACTGTCACATCTGCTGAAAATCAAGCCACTGGTAACAGCAGTGAAAATACAAATTTGAGAGCTGAAGTTGCTCGCAGGGATGGAGTGCATAAGAATTAAAAATAGATCCCACCTTGCCTCCCACCTGCACAGTAAACATGTAAGTTTCATGTGTTTAATTTGATATTCACATTAATTAACAATACAACATACATTATTAAAAAGACAGCAAATGCAGGAAGAAAGGAGAGACACCATCTGGTAGCAGAGTTTTGTTGTTGTTTGTGGTTTTAGGGTTTTGTGGGGATTATTTGGCTTTGTTAAAAAAAAAAAAGGTAAAATCGCATTTTGAATGTGATGAAAAGCAAACACCCAGAAGTAAATGAATCGGAAATGAAAGGTGATGTCGAAATATCTAAGGCTGTAATGAGGCAAAAACAAGTCTTCTCTACCGGATGATATGGCATACAGAGCATTTACATACTCACATCTGAAAAACTAGGCAACGTGTAATGAATTCTATACACAGCATGCACACACAGCACAAGCACGGCTAATCCTGACTGCCATCTTAGGCTCGCAGAAGCAAGATACGCAATGCATGCAGCACACGAGCACTAGGGAAGGAGGAGGCAAGGGACAGCTCACCTTAAATGCAGTATCTGATTAATGTTGTAAGTGACATTGAATATCAGCCTCAGAGTCTTGGTTCAACTGGGTAGGAGGGAACAAAGAAAAATGTCATCAACTGGTGATGCAAGATGAGCCCAATCACTAAACACTGCTTAGCAAACTCCAAATTCTGCAACCAGACAGTAGAAGGCATTTCATACACTTGAGCAGAGCTGCTGCACAATGAATGTGTCCTCCTGCTTCTGTGATTCAGTCCTTTTGCTAAGGAAGAAAATAAGCTGAAGTGAGCACTGTCATATCTTCTTCTTGAAGAAAGCTTTCAATACAGTATGTATCTGGTCCGGGATGCATTTTTATAGACTGTTAATTTCATAGAATTGCTAACAACAAAAATCAAAACTGTTAGCTGTTGCAAAATAAAGAATACTTCTGATAAAGGGTACAGCATTTCTAGATTATTTTTTAAAATCCTAAATGGTGCCGGCAGGCTTGTAGAAGAATGCATGCTCAGCTGTCTGTATCCGTTCTATAACCTTTAACCACAAGCAGTTTAAATGTATCCTGCTAAATGTATCTGCAGTAGAGAATGCGGATACCGCCTCAGACAGAATCGTATTAAGATTGTGAATGAATTTTCTTAAATTAGAAGCAGAATAAAATTAGTGCAGAAAAATAGATTGATGCTGAGTTCCTTTGGATGCATAGCTGACTGTCATGAACAATAAAAGCTATCTTTAGACTACTGACCTAAATAATACTCAGATTGCTTTAAAGCAGCATACTGTATGCGTTCAGAACATGGAAAATGCAAAATGAGTTTTCTTCTCCCTCCCCCTTCAAAGGTTAAATTTAAAGGTAACTAGCCATTTACAGGAATAGCAAAAAGGCTATAAAAACAATACGTACTGTAGGAGAAGAAATCGTGTTGTGCTGGGAGGCAATGTTTCTTTGTTTTACTTTGAGGCTTATTTTAGCTACGCTTGCATGATGACATTGACATCAGGAGGTCAGGGCTGACACTGGGTTGCTATCCGTTTTATGAGTGAAATGTTTCCCGAAAATTAAATCTCATTTACTCAAACACCAAATTTCATGTCTTCTTCAATACCATTTCCCTACCCCCACTGCCCAAGATTGATGGGATCTAGCTTGGCTATATATACTAAATAGGAATCACTTTCTGCAAATGCCAATACATAATTGTGGATAATTAATTTTTTAAATAAAAAACCTTTAAGAATTCTTATCACCCCCTTTTCATTCCTATCATCTCTTTCTCTCTCTCTCTCTCACACACACACACATGTACACACAAAATTGAAGCTCAAATTGCAATGAAATGTTTAACATGTGGAACAAAAACTGTTGAAAGAGCTGCTTATTCAGGATTTTAAAGAAATGCCTAATAAGCAAATACTATTTTGCTACAAAACCAGTGCCACAACATTCCCAAAGAAGAAAACAGCGTAGCTTGCTAGAAAAATTTTCTCCAGATACTACTGGCAGGTACAAGCCAGACAAGCATTTCATTTACCATACTTTATAAAACAAGATGTTATTTATTTTAAGAAAATAGAAGAGATTCTTTTCCATTCTATTTATTTAGCTACAAAGAAATCACACCCACCCCCATTCTTAGATCCTGGATATAAGCCAATATTTTTATATAATGCTATGAGATTGATTTTAAGTATGAAACATTTATATTTTTTTTTCTTATTCCTCCCAAAGTCTTTAATTGCCTATTGCATCACTGACTAGGCTAATGGTAATTAATTTTAATGCAGGCAAAAATGAATTAATATTTTCTGGGGTTGCTAGTTTTCCAGCGGCTTTATCTTCTATAAAATGGCTGGAAATAATCAGGTTACCAAAATATTTCAGCTCCCAGAAAAATTTTAAAGGAGAAATATATCTGAACATTTTAACATGTGTACTAGGTTTCCCAACTGGCTCTTTTGTTTGCAGCTCATATTTCATCTCCTTTCACAGAACAGAAGTGACTTTTAGCTGAATATGCAGAAAGTACCCTGCCCACCTCTAACCTATACACTGCACTCACTGAGTTGGGTTATCCAGATGGCGGGTCCTACCTGGTCCATAGCAAGTCCTCTTCTCTGTGGAGCACATCTCTCCTTCACAACTACTCAGAAATAAATGTGGCTCTAAAGAAAACAGTAGCTCCTGATCTAACACCAATGGTGGAGCCATCTTCCCCACCCCCACATCATCGCTCTATGAGCTCTGGTTAACATTGACAGCAACAGAAAATTAGAATGGAGTGTCCTTAGGCCAGTTCCTCTTTTACTTGGGGGTTGAGAGTTAGAGACTAGCATCATGAGTTACCAGGCACCAATTTAATATATAGTCATCTGTAAAGCACGGTCTTTCAAGTGGGGTTGGAGGAGATTGAAGCAAACTAACACTCAATGTCAGTCGAGCAATTCCCCATTGGTGAATCTGAAAGCCAGACATGTTAAACATTCACAAATTATTATTGCATAGGCTAAATACATATAATATGGAATCATCTCCAACCACATAGAACTAAGTTGCTGCCTCCTCTGTCTGGGATAATAAATAACAGTGACAATAACAGTAATCCATATCAGGCTCCCTGGATATGTTACAGAATAGTATTACAGAAAGAAGGACGGTGAATGTGGTCAGGTCCCCTACTGGTACTAGTAAACCAGGTGCCAGAGCAAATGGTGTCCAAACCTTTCCATGAGGTTTCTTTATCCACCTGCCATCAAAATAAGCTGAAAAGCCATTAAGTCAAACCTGTTTGGGTTAAACAACTATGAATTATAGCTGAAAATATTCAGAGGGAAGAGCTTGTTTAGGCCGATGTTTTTGGTTAGAAAATCCTGCTTTGTATTTGGGGAAAAAAATACTCATGCCTGAATTACTTAAACTTTGTCATGATTACAAGTATCAAATATATGCCCTCACTTATGATTTTTAAAATTGTGTGCTCCTCATCAACTTCCTTAGGGCATTGATACAGAATTCAACATAAAAGACAAATCCATTTTCCACAATGAAAATTTTAGCCTGGTTCTGTCATTGTGATAGGAACACAGAAGGTACCCAAAATCATCTGGCAAAAGCAAACTAGGGGACAGAGCTAGCTAGCAGTGAGGGTCAAGTTTTTCACTTTGATTAATGTTCTGATTTGCTCATGGTCTTCTTGTTCTGCAAGCTGAGCTAATTTTATCTCCAGTCCTGTGGGTTAAAGCTAAATTGTACAGCTTATGCAAAGTATATAATTCAAGTATGAACAAAGCTTGGTGCTCTACATTTAAAAAAATAAGTCCCAGTGGAATCCTTGGTTTGTAAACATTTGGATTGGTCTGCACGTTTCTTTATGCCATTCACTGCATTCAAAATTACAGCTGGTTTCCTTTCACAATTAATATTGATGGCCAACATTTATAGGCAAATTTTTTTTCATCAAATGAGACTATCATAATTAAAACTTCTAAACAATCCACCAAATACGATACTTTTGTTTAAATTCTCAGAATTTAAAAAGCTTAGAAAATTTTCATGATGTTGATTATATCAATGTGTCCTGAAAACAATATGACAACTTATCAATGACTAAAAATGACTTTGTATATTTTAGCCAAAATTTTTGCGAAAGTCTAATCTCGCTTTAAATGGCTATATCTTGCTTAGAGACCTGAGTAGAAATTCTTCCTTTCTGACTTGACCAGAGCTGAAAATCTGTAATAGCTATTACTTATGGAGAACCTGTTACATGCTCAATATTTTTAAATTCTAACCAATAATACACAAAGTAGGTATTAACTATAATCATTTTTTGATGAGGGACTAATAAAGATTATTAGGTACACAGTAAACAGCCGACCTGGGATTCAAAGCTAAGTGCAACTGATTGCAAAGCTTCTATGTTTTCACTGATCCTAGAATAACAAGACATCCTTCTAATCTACTCTACCCCTAACATCAACAATTTTCTATTTGTTTAGACATCTAGTGCAGGGGACCCTAGCTCCTTGGAGCCATGATTACCACTGTTGTTTATATAAATGATCCTCTACTCCCAGGCACTGGGATCTATGGGTACCTAGGATGCCACCAATCGAATAGCAACAGACACCAGCAGGCAGGTTACTTGGAGTCCAATTCTTGTTCCACCTAACCTAGCAAACAAACTGCAATGGCTGGAGAAAAAAAAAGACCAGGCCAAGCAGGAGGAAAAGGCAGAATAGAAGAGGAGGAATCAATTAGACTATCTTGGGAAGTGAAGAGTTGAGAGCACAGTAATGATTTTGGAGAGCAATTTGTCATAATTTGGAAATATTTTAAGAGGCAAAGTAAATGGACAAAGCTTGCCTTTCCATATAAGCCAAGATTTCACCCAGTGAAGTGTATTTTTTCCATGTTACAGATGAGGAGACTGAAGCTGAGAGAAATCTGGCGCTTTGCCTAAGCTCATACCCTTAAGCCATGTATGGTGGTACATGTCTATGATCCCAGTTTTCCAGAGGCCAAGGCAGGAGAATAATCACAAGTTTGAGGCCAGCCATTGCAGTTTGTTTGCTAGGTCAGGTGGAACAAGAATTGGACTCCAAGTAACCTGCCTGCTGGTGTCTGTTGCTATTCGATTATCTCCCTTTATTGGCAGGGCTGTCTAGTAAGTTCAAGACCAGGCTGAACTATAAGGCAAACCTTGTCTCATTAAAAAAAAAAAAAGGTACCCTGGATAAGTGAGATTACTTAATCACTGTATTAAAAATACAGTTTGTGTTTCCTTTTATACCTAATTTATTCAGCATTTGTGAGTAAATCTATTATCAGGTTGTTTGACTATTCTAAATTATCAGTTAAAGAAAAAATCAGTGTAACAATCAAGACTCACCTATTTTCAACTTATAAACTGTATGTTTTTTATGAACAGATTAAGTATTTTGAGTTTCTTCTCTCAACATAATTTAAAGATAGACTACTGTGAAAGGATTTTGGCCCAGGCCGGATACTGTAGCCGGTAAAGCCAAGGAGCTCCTATCTCCCCCACCCTTAGGAATCTACCTCTGGCACCAAACTAAGACCAATGGGCTACCTGTGCATCTCTAATGCCCCCCTTAGGTTCCACCCCAAGCCGAGGCTACTTATGTGCCTCACTCCACGTGTTCCACGGGTGGAGATGCCGTGTCCCAGGGGGTCGGGGGTGTCTCTCCCCGCATGCCCAAAATAAAGGTCATTTATATTTCATACTTCTTATCTTTTCAGCCGCCGCCAGTCCTCCTCCCCCGCACAGCTCTATCATACTGATTGATTGATTGATAGTAGTAACTGGGAATTGAACTCAGGATCTTGCACATGTGAGGTAAATGCTATGTCACTGAGCCAAATCCTTAGCCTCAAAATGGATTTTTAAAAAACCTAACTTTGGATACAAGATATTCCTCAAGCAAGTCTGGTAATTTAAGTGTGTCATTCTAACGAGTGACTGCACATGTTACTCTGCTCATTTTCCCTTTGTTTAATATCCCTTTCCCGCTCTGTAAGTTTATGATTCTTGAAACTCCAGTGTAGTTTGCTTGCTAGGTTGTGTGGGACAAGAGGTGGGCTCCTGGTATCCTGCCTGCTGGGTGTCTGTGGCTACTTGACTATCTCTCTTCATTAGTAGGTATTTTGTATGTCGACCAGATGGCTCTTAAAAGGCATTTTTTTAAATCAATCAGCTGCACCATTCCTGAGGCTATTTTGCTCAGTCATAAAGAGGCAGTAGAATGAACAGTTGGGTAAAGAGATGTGCATGAGGAGTTTCTCCTCCAAAAAGCCTTCTTCAGTTCTTGGACATCACTGGTCTTACTTCTGTTCCATAACATCAATGAGAAATGTGGGAAAGGATGGCAAGGATTGGGAACCAGACTGAAGTTTACCTTCCAAAGAAAAGGAGGAAGGGGGGGCTGGGGATTTAGCTCAGCGGCATAAGCACCTGCCTTGCAAGCAGGCAGTCCTGAGTTCGATCCCTGGTACCGATAAAAACAAAAAAACAAAAAAATTAAAAAAAATTAAAAATTAAAAAAAATAAAAAAAAAAAAAGAAAAGGAGGAAGGGAAACAGAAACCATGTGGTTTTCAACAAAGGAAAAGTGGCAAACGACAGGCTGCAAGGAAGGCTGTGGTTGACACCTACTTAAGCCGACTCAGATCTTCCCAGTGGGAATACGCTCAACAGGTATCAGAGCCATTATGGATGTCGCTATTTCAGCAGAGAGACTGAACATTGTTGTTCCTGTTTTCCTTTCTCAGTGTATTTGAAATATGGCATCAATAATGACCTGGAGTGGTCTTGGGGACAAACAGCATCCCTGCACTCCTACTCACATGCTCATCTGCTGTCATGGGTACTGCCACTCACCAAACTGAAAATAAGCAAAACCACAGGGTCTTTTAGACCTGAGTTGGCAAAATATATATTCAGCAGGAAAGCTGAGGTGTTTTGCTTTTTTTTTTTTAAACTGGCAACTAGATTGAAAAAGAAAGGAAGGTGGGAATACAAGTGAAGGTGAAGGAAGAATTCTTTTGAGTCAGTCTTGCTATGTAATTCATGCTGGCCTTGAACACACTATGTAGCCCAGGTTGGCCTCGAACTCATGGTGCTCCTCCTGCCTCAGTCTCCAAATGCTAGGAAGAATTCTCATGGTTCTACCAAAATCTAACTCATTTGAGGGTATAATCTTCTTCTTGTATCTTTCTCCACCCTGGTAGCAAATATTCTCAGACTCAACTCAGGAACAAATTTATTTGCTGTCTCTAAATTATTTTGTGACTGAGAAGAGCTATAACCCTGCACCTCTTCTCAGCATGAGCAGCTTAACAAGCTTCTGTGCATCTTCATTTCCTTTGGACTAAACAGAAAAGCACGGTAAGTTTTTGCCATGTTGAATTATCTACTCTTGCTCCCTGGCAGATCTTTGTGGGGTTACCCATGGTGCTGGAGCTTTGCCTCACGCAGTGGGATGGTTCATTAGGGCCTACTCTCAACTCCCACCACCAGTCATGGCAGTTCTTTCTCTACTTCTATCACCATCAATAGTATCTTCAGCTTTGAGTCATGAAGGCACGTCCTAAAAAGGGGGGAATTTGATTTGTGAGTTAAGGGATGACTCTGGGGGCCCATCACTGATTTACTAAGGGGAGTCACAGTGGATTGGCAAGTGCATCACAGTGCTTTGTGTAAACCTGTCCTTCCTGGAATGAGGGAAGGGGCGATGGAAATAAGAGTGGTCTGATAACACTACTACTGCCTCCCAAATGTGCTCAACCTTTTCCTGGGTCCTTGACAGCAGAGTGTGTTGCATAGAGTTAAAGGATGGGATGATGCTTCAGAGAATGCTATCTATGTCCTTTCTTGGGAAGAATAAAACAGGCTTCAAAGACAGTAAGGGATATACTCAAAGACTTCAGTAATCAGGGTAGAAGCTATATTCTTAAATTTTTGGTATTCTCTTTAAAATTCCATACACTGGCTCAGTTTTTAAAAAAAATTCTGAACTTTCACTTAGGCACTTAATTAATGATTATAGATTGAATGAATGTGAATACATACCAGCCTACTGGGTTACAATGTGTTTCCTGTTTTTTTTTTTATCGGTACCAGGGATCAAACTTATGACCACCTGCTTGCAAGGCAGGTGCTTATACCACTGAGCTAAATCCCCAGCCCCGTGTTTCCTAATTCTGCTAAGAATAAAATACTCTAGTACACGTATTTTTTTTTAAAAGAGCTCTACTAAAAATAATTTTAAGTAAAATAGTAAATATTGGTCCAAAACCACCTGGGACCAGTGTAACTTAAGAAGTTTCAGAGAACCAGGTTTGCTTACTATATTAAGTCTGTCAGACTAAGTTTAGCTAGCCAACATTGCCTGTATTCTGTTTGGTTTGCAAAGAAACATCTCATGAGTTAGCATGAACAGCTAAAAATAAGTTGCAAGTTTCATTTTCCACTGTTCAGAATGGTTTTGAAACCAAAAGGTGCAAAACTAAGAGATTCACCAACACCTATGAAAACTCAACAATTTAGCTTCTCATCTTTCTAACACACTGTACTGATGGGCCAGCTCACTTCTGGGCCCTGGAAATGATCTCTGTCCCTCTCACCACTGTCTCTTAAAATGAGTTTCCCAAATAAGGCTTGGCAGGAAATTGGGGGCTGAGGCCGGTTCTGGGTGGGAAAGTAGTGTGTGACTGTATTGTCACATCCGGACAGGATGCCACAGAACTTCAGCCCCTCTCCTAGGTGATGCTGGGGACCCCTTTGCAGCAAGTGGAGTAATATTTTCATTAAGACAGGGCTCTGGAGACGTTGAGTGCTATGAGTCTCCATTGACCAAAATGCCTATGGCCTTGTACAATTTCATTCCGCAACCTAGGCAGTTCACAATAAACATCAAAACCAAATTTCCAGGGCTGTGTCTGGTAAGAAGGTATTTGACAGAGGTGCAAATGCCTCAAAGGAAAGGCAGCCATTTCCGCAGCATTCAGTTATGGCTCATGGCCCAGAGACAGCAATGCTGTTAAAAGAAAGCTTTCCAATGAATGAGATTGAAAGGGGGCAAAGAAGGGTTAATCTCCCTCCATTAAAGGTGGGGCCATTTGGCAAAGGTGAAGAGAATAATCTGTATGAAGAGCAGAGCAGACAAAGAGCCATTCTGGAAACGAAATTACCGTGCAGGGGTAAGAAGGATGATTTGTTCTCCATTTTCACCGTGAGACCATTTCTTAGATCTCAGGGTCTTTACCTTGCTTTGAAGTTACAGTTGCTGGGAGGAGAAAGGGGGCATGTTCACACTCAGTGCTACAGTGCCCGAGCTGTGATTCACTTGGAATGAGCTGTCTTGGAACAGCGGAGGGTGAGGCAAAGTCACCAGGATGCTGTAGAAGCCTAACCACAAATTAGAAGGCAGCAAAGTAAACAGTAGGAGCTGCTTCCCTGGGGGTGGGGAACACTCACCATTTTTTAAATACTTATTTTTAAAATGCTTTGAAATGTTTGAAATGTTTGCTTTTAATAGTATTTTTATAAAATAGATTTATAAGAAGTAGCAAAAATAGTATAATCAGTAAAGTATATAATGTATCCACTTTTTCTCAATGATGTCATACAAACTTAGTTCACTGCTTAAACCAAGTAGTGGACAGTAATACAATTATGAGCTTTGGTACTGGTCTTCTCTGATTTCAGCAGTTTTTATAGGCACTCTGTGTGTTTCTCTACAGTCTACAATATGTTCTTACACCTACAAGTTGGAGATGCATGAGCACAGTCAGAATACAAAACCATGACATAGGACAAATTCTTGTGTCCACCCCCCCCCTTTTTTTTGCAGTACCAGGAATCGAACTTGACCTCGCACTTGCCAGGCAGGCGCTCACACCACTGAGCTAAATCCCTGGCCCTTGTGCCACCCCTTTAAGGTTACCCCTTTCCACAGACCTTGGAAGTTGCCAACCTGTTCTCTATCACTGTATTTTGGTCACTTTGAAAATATCCTATACAGCATGAACTCTTTGACCTTTTCATTCACCCAGTATAATGCCATTGTGAGTTCTTCCAGTTAGTATTCCAGGTATGGATATAACCAAAGCTTTTTATCCATTCACCTACTGAAGGACCTCTGGCTAGGTTTCCAGTTTTTAGATGTTTCAAACAAAGCTGCTATGAGCATTCATGTGCAGGCTATTATGTGAACATAAATTTGCATAAATACCCATGAGTGAGGTTGCTGGACGGTGTGGTAAGAACAAGTTTGACTTTATAAGAAACTGTCACACTGTTTAAAAGAGTGGCTGTAGCATTTTACATTCCCATGAGTAATACAAGAGAGACACAGGTTATTTTTTTAACATCTTAATCTGCATTCAGTAGCAGTCTTATTTTTAATTTTATCCAATCTAACACACGTGTAGTGGTCTCCTTTTGATGGCTCACAGTTAAGATGGCAGTAAAGTGTGGGATTTGCAGGTCCTGAGTAGGGTGGCCCAGATATATGTCACTGTTTCATCTTCTCTGATAGTTGTCTAGACAGTGGTCTAGTGGTCTGGCATTCAGAGAATAGGAAATGGAGTGGTCTCTCTGGATGTGGGGTGAATCTGCAGGTTTGCCCAGTTAGTTAGTTGTTCCTGACTGTAGCAGTGGGTGGTCATCACCATCCTGGTACACTGCGCCTCTGAGGCAATGCCTGTTGGCCAAACAGGCAGACTTGATATGTGGCATATACTTCCACAGGGTAGGGAGATGATATGAAACCACAGAGAGGGACAGAATTTGCCTGGGCCTGGGCTCTCCTGCTGCTTTGGTAAGACAATATATAAAGACTTTTACTCCAATGGTAGTCATTAGTTTAGTGTGAGAAGAGGTGGCACATGGAGTCAACAGAGACAGATAAGGGTGGCACTATCAGTGGCATTTACCAAATCATAGGACCACCAAACACATTTTGCCCTTGAACTTCCTGCTCTGTGCCCACCCAAGATTTTCCAGCAGGATATAAACACCTTGGCTGGATGTCACGGAACTCATTTCTATCTCCTGTTAGATCTAGAGGCACGGCTGTTAACCACCGTATAGATTTCCTGGCTCAGAGATGCAGGTCTCATGAACATTCAGAGCTTCAAAGGTGCCTCAGCCATGGAAGTTGAGCAGGATGACAGGGACATGAGCCTTGCATAAGGCAAACATAGATCACTCTAATTGTCCCAGCCATTCTTGGAAAGTTACTCTCATCAGTTGTAACTCTGATTCAATGGACATTATAGAGGAGGCCAGAATCTATGTTCATCATGACCCTGAGTCCACAAGTTTGGGCCATGAGACTAAGCATCAGGATAGTAGTCATCCTGTGTGGGAGCAGTTATGAGATTATGCAGGCGTGCACAGAGGCAAGTCCCCTGATGTCTAAGGAGGAGAACCGGGATAGTTGAGATACTTCCTGGGTTCTGGCTCTAGTGCTTCACCAACTATCACCACAGAAGACTGACATGGACTTGGGCAGCAGAAAACTTCCAGAACTGGGATGTAAAATGGGCACCATAGGAGAGCCCAGCATTCCAAGGAGGTGAACCTTGAAAGTCAAACGACTCAATGGTGGCCTTCCAACAGCTGACCAGTGAGTGAGAGGAAGCACAAGCAGTCAAATAACATGAGGTGATGGTAGGTGTGGCCTGATGGCTTCGGCTGTGTTGTACAGGTAGGAGGGAGAAATAAACTTCCTCTCAAAAGGAGAGAATTTTTAAGATTTTGTTGTTGGCTCACTAGCTTTTCTGCTATGATTATTTTCCATTATTTTCTAAATATCCATTTTCAGATCCTGCTGTCTGACCCTTTGCTCTTGTTCTTACTTCTTCCCAGTCGGAAGGCAGCCCAGCTGCAGGTCTTTTCAGATTTAAAAGGGTCAGCTGCTGGTATGGTAGTGCATACCTATAATCTCAGCACTAAGGGAGGATGATGCAGGAGGATCACCAGATTGAGTCCCACCTGAACAACTTAATGAGCCTTTACCTCAAAAAAAAAAAAAAAAAGAAACAAACAAACAAAAGAAAAAAAGTCGGTATGAAAGCACTGGATTCACTCCTCAGTCACACACACACACACACACACTCGTGAAGCCATTATAGCACCATTGTAGCTTTTACTTGGTCTTATTTTTAACTCTACCTGCCTTCATATGTGAGATTCTCTCACGTATTTCAGTCTGGCTTTGCCCTGATCCCACTCTGCTGTTGTGTTCTGCCTGTGGCCCCAAGTCCTGCTCGGTTCTTGTGGATGAATCGTGTGGATGCTCTCTGCATAGCTGCCTTGCCCTGCTGCACTGAGCTTCAGTGCCATGTTCTGGCACACAGTGATCTGGCCACACTGGGTGATCCCTGTGGGCACCTGGCCCCTTGTGGAATCTGTGCTGCACACACGTGTTCTAAGACATGGCCCTGCCAATCGGAAGGCAGATACCACTTCCCTGGTTACTTCAGGAGTTTGTCTTCTCATCGATTCCTTTTGTTAGCTAACCAGAGATTGGGTGTCTCTGGGCTTTTGCCTAGTTCAGCCTCTGCAACTAAATATCTGGGTGACCACCAGCAAGTAAATGAACCATGCTGGCTGGCTTCAGCAACCCTGTATTTATAACAAAGTCTCCTGACTTGCTAGCTAGCAAGATTTTTTGTTTGTTTATTTTTTTCTGTACTATGCTAAAGAAAAATCTAAAATTCAGAAGCCAAACAGGGGCTTTAAATTCTGGTTTAGATATATGCTATGCTATATAGCCATAGTTTGTCCATTAAATAGGCTTTTGTGTGAAACACTTGCTGAGGTGATGGAACCTTTAAGAGGTGGTGCCTAGTGGAAGGCAATTAGGTCACAGGGCCTGCCCTCAGAAGGGATTCAGACAGACTGTGTGGGATAGGATTAGTTCCTGTGGGAATGGTTGTTATAGGAGAGCCTGGTTCCTCCCCTGAATCCCTGTTTTGTGTGAACTGCATTTTATTCTTGCACCTATGTGCTCTTGTTGCTGTGATGCAGATTATCCTGAGACCCTCACAAGAGTCATGTAGATGTTGGCATGCTTTTGAAAAACTTCCAGCACTGTGGGCTAATCAATCTTTTTTTCTGTATCAAGTTCTCTGCTTCAGGTATTTTCTTATTGCAACAACAATAGCAAAAACAGGTTAAGACAATAGACAAGCTCAGGGGTTTCTTTTTTCTAAGTAGTGTTTGCCTTAGGAACTATAAAAACAGGTAATGACCATGTGCTCCAATTTCTAAAATTTTCCCTTAGATGTTCACAAAGATTCATCTACAAGAAGATTTACATATCTATTATAGTGGGCCACTAAAGGCAATAAAAATATATATCAAAGAAAGAGTAGATAGACTAAGTTATCCATGCAATAGAAACATAACCATTAAAAATTACATTTTTGACCAGGTATGGTGGAGCATGCTTATAATTCTAGTACTCAGGAAGCTGAGGCAGGAGGATTACCTAAAATTTGAGGCCAGGCTGGGTTACAAAGTCATTTCAAGGCCAGTCTGAATTCCATACTGAAACACTGTCTCAGAAAGATAAATAAATAAATAAATAAAATAAAATTATGTTTTCAAAGTGTATTTAGTGAGTAGAAAAATGTTTAGAGTATAATGTTGGCTGGACATGTAATTCTAGCACCCAGGAGGCCAAGGCAGGGGCACTGCCATGAATTCAAGGCCAGCCTGGGCTATATAAGAGAGTTCAAAGCCAGCCTGCACTACATAGAGAGACTCTGTCTCAAAAAACAAATGAACAAACAATCCCCCAAAAACATAATGTTGGAGGATGGCAGACAACCATGAAAATATCATTTCAGTTTTTGAAAGGAGAAAAATCCAGGTCTGGTGGTGCATGCCTATAATTACAGCACTCTGAGACACAAAGACAGGAGGATCACAAGTTCAAGCCCAGTGTAAGCAACTTGGTGAGATCCTGACTCAAAATAAAAACTAAAAAATGATGAGAGATATAGCTAAGCATGGGTTTAATCCCTGTGCCACAAAAAGAAAGAAAAAAGAAAGGAAGAAAGGAAGAAAACAAGAAAGAAAGAAAGAAAGAAAGAAAGAAAGAAAGAAAGAAAGAAAGAAAAGGAGGAGAGAGGGAGAAAGGAAGGCAAAGGAAACGAATACCTAGGGAAACCTGCAAAAAATACTTCACCAAAATGCTAATATTGAATTATGTCTCGGTTGATGGCTTTCTGGTGATTCTAATTTTCCTTTTAAATTTTAAACTTTTTAACGTTTTTTATAGTAATTACCTATGACTATTTTTAAATGATAATTTTAAGAAAAGGAGAGAAAGAAAGATCGTTTCACATACAATGAAAGCAAGAAGGAAGAGATGTCCCTTAAAAAATCCAGCCCAGTATACTTAACAAGTTGTTCTTTCTTTTCGAGCACTTTCTTTCCCTTTCATTATTACAATATCTATTATACATTTTGGATCTTATTACTTTCAGTTTTTTGCTATTATTATTATTTTTTACACTAGAGAGACAATATGTTTAAGTGTACAACGCAAATAACCATACTACTAAATTTTTGTTAGTACATGAAACAGAATAGTTTGTGCTGTCATTGTTTGATTGTCCATTTTATGCTTTGATTTTGTAACTTGAACAACTTCTAAGATAACAGTATGTAATTTATCAACAGTGATGATTTCCTAATGTTATTTTTTGAAATTCTGTATCATTTCTACCCTTTTTTCTGTTTTCCTTTTTTTTTTAATTAAAAAAAATGGGGAAAAAAATCCAACCCAGGCAGGAGGATCACAATGAATTTGAAGCTAGCCTGGGATACATAGTGAGTCCGAGGTCAGTCTGAACTACATAGTAAGATCCTGTCTTCAAAAACCAAACCAAGCCAAACCAAAACATCCCAGCCCAGAAATAGCCCAGCTGCCAGCAGATGACACAGGTAATAGACAGATTGATTCCTAACCCCAGCATAAATCCTAAGTTACTTCTTTTACATATATATAGCTGTAGTTTCTTTTACTTCTTTTACATCCATATAGCTGATGCCAAGGAATTTAGGTCAATGAGAAAGGCACTTTCTCTGGAAGCTACCTCCCTGTAGCTTAGGATGATGGGCTGTAGGTTTTGGGATATGGATGGGCATTCTCCTATCACACAAAGAAGACTAGATTCACAGATGATGGCTTTCAAACAAAGATGAGGGATTCTCTCTGGCGTGGGAGACACAACCAAGGTCAACACCTCCATCGAGTGTTTCCCATATGGTGTTATCTCAAGGTCCTGGGAGCCCCCTCAAATTCCTTGAATCCTCTTTTGGCAGAAAGATGACTCATCCATTCTCCCACAAAGATTTCAGTGAATCCCAGGTGGAAGATCTCTCTGAATGAGATTAGAAGCTTCCCACTTAGGCTGATGGTCTAGAGTCAAAGCTTTCTGAATGGCATCAAACCTTTGTACCACATGCTTTGGGAGGTTAGGAGTGGTGCTAGGGATCCCAGATGAAAAGTCAATTTAGAAAAACAAAAAGTCTTTTTTTCCAAAACACTGATACTTCATAACAGTATTGACCATAATTATTGTAATTATTTTCTTCAACACATTCTCAGAGAGTTTTCTAAGTGGCCCAGACCATTTTGCATGTAGGACCTTACTTATTCTGACAGAATCTTGGCATTCTATTCTTTAAAAACTTCATTTTGGGGATAGGAAGAAGCTTTAAAGTTCTGACGAAAACCAGAGTCTTCTTGAATTAAAAACAAAACCCTAAAGTTTTCAGTGTGGTGTTTTCCAAGTTGGTTCTTGACAAGAAATTAGGGGATTTCAGTGTGAGAAATTACAAAGCCTTATTACTATGAATTCTTAGCTTTGGTGACTATGACGTGGGTTTATTGCAAAATCTTCCGAAGGGAGTAACAGAACATTTATAACCCTGACCCAAGGGAAGGGTACTAGCTAGCACTTCTGTGCCCTGACAACTAGAAAACCTCTGGGACTTAAGTGTGCTGCTCTGTGAGGCTGCTGTGTTCATCCGTGTCTGCTGTGTGTGAGTCTCGCCACTAAGCTCTTCAGATGACTCAAACTCTGCAAAGACTACAGTTTCCCAAATTTGAATTATATAACTCATGATGCAGTTAAAACTGAAAAGAACCAATGTAATAGAAAGTGAAGCAAGCACTAGAAACTCCCCATGAGACCTATTTTGATGCATTTTTTTTTAAAAGTCAAAAGTATTTATAATTTGAGTATTTGTACATGATCCCATTTTTCTGGTGTTGTCTGTAAGAACTAACACTGATGAATGGTCGTGAGGATCTGTGACTTTCTTTGAAACATTAAGTGTTGATCATAGTAAAATTCTGGTTATTCACTTTGGTAATCACACATGCCTCCTTGCCATACTATGCAGATAGAAATTAGAAATGAAGAGGTCAACAACACCCACCCCACTCCTAACACCATTCACATGTTAGTTTCTGAGTCATACCAGATGGGCAGTGAAATTAAGAAGTGGAGAGAGCCAGTTTCCCAAACGAGCAGACCCTGACATCTTTCCTCTTTGACTGGCTTTCTGGGCAAACGCTGTTAGCTTATGACTTCCAGCAATAGGTCAACCCCATTTGGCTCCAGCTTTTGAAACCTGGTACTTGTTCTCATCTTCCTCCTTTGGCTACTTCCTTTTGGCAGGCACTGTTTCCCCACGCAGCCTGGTTTTATCTTTGGCCTAACCCACCAGCCCATGCAGCTTCCAGCTCAATAAATCAGGAAAATGGATTTTCAGAGGCAGAAGTATTTTTGCAAAATATCAACTTGTGGTGGGAGCTCACTCTTCTTCAGTTCATTCTTGCTGTGGGACTTGAGTGGAGGTTAGGCAGAATTAGTAGGAGAAAAGGCCCTGTATCAGGCTGTCAGCAGAGGTCAGAGAGGCTATCAAACTGGCCAGTAACTGTTCCCACACAATGGACAATGCATTCTCTTCAGAATGTGGATGCAAATGCCAGAAATGTAAAGTTCAGTGGCAACATTTAATCAGAAACTAGAGTGTTTAGCCAGCTATCAACAACAAAGCTAGGGAGCTAGGTACCAGGCTGCTCAGATAGACTCCAGACTGTTTTTATAGAGGCCTTTGAATTAGGGGCATCACAAGGCCTCCACTACAGTTTCTGGAATTTACCAGTGAGGGGAGGACTGTACCAAGATAAACAATGTGTAAAAGCCTACACAAAATATAAAATGAGTTAAGAGTTCTCTAAATAGGAGTTTTACATTTGTCTCTCATTATTTCAGTGGATATTTGAAATTTTCCTAAAAAGAAAATGAATTATATATGAAATCCTTTGCAGTAGCATTACTATCTCTAGCTTGAGCTTTTTAAAGTTTTTGTTTTTGTTTTGTTTTTGTTTTCCCTTGAGACAAGGCCTTGCTATGTAGTTCAGGCTGGCCTTGAACTCTTGGCCATCCTTTTGCCTCAGTCTCCTGAGTGCTATGCTCATAGGCATGTGCCATTATGCCTGGCTTTAAAGTCTACTTTTAAGTATTTCTTGGACAACTTGGTTTGAAGGTCTCTCCTTGGTCTAGGATTTTCCCCTTGGCAATTAAGTGTTCGAAGACCTGGAGCAAAGATGGAAGGATAATCTCCTAAAGCCCGGAGGAACAGAGAGGTCCATGAGCTTAGGAAATCATGAACTTTCTTATAGATTACTGCAGCTCATAGTTGGAGGAACAGAATTCCACTAAGCAATCCCAACTAGTATGTTTAGATACAGAACAGAACAAGAAGATTGGAGTGAAAAATAAACGTAAGAATGCCCTTCCGGTTTCACTGGCCACTTGCAGCATGGTGGTACTAGAAGTCTTAGGGTGAGGATGGCCACATGAGTTTTGAGAAGTCTTCTTCACTGTTTCTTGCCCACATGGCCAGATGTTAGCCTAAGAGCATCAGTTAGGGAGCATCTGATAATTTTCCATTTCTCCCACTGTTTCATTCTGCAACCTTATTCTCACATCTCCAAGTTTATTTATATGCTGTGACAGAGAAAATTACCTCTTCAGTGGAAGCTCACCACTGTAATCACTGGAAGTGCTGCCCCATCAGAGACCACATTCTCAAGACACTTCTATGGTGAGTTGTGATAATGTGACTGAGTTTTATCCAATAGAACACAGGGAGACATGATGTATATCACTTCAGGTCTTGGTCTGCAAAGTATCCCATGTGCACTTTTTCATGCTATTTTCTTCCACTGAGGAATGACGGTATCACTCGGCAACTTTGAAAACCAATGCTGTAGAAGAACTCGTAAATCTGAATTGGTTTTGTTTTGCTGTGATGGAAATGTACCCCAGGACCTCAAGCATGCCAGGCAAACACTCCCTGACTGAGCAATACCCCATCCTTGAATCTGAATGAATGCTACTAAGAGATGGGGCACAGTGACTTGTACTGTTGCATTAGCAAGGAATAAATTCCTACTGAGTTTGAGCCCTTAGACATTTTGGGGTCTGCTATAGCAATTAGTCTATTATAATATTTATCCTCTTTGACCCAATAGTTATCGTTTTCTGTAGAAGTCTCTGTGCCCTTTTCTCTTTTCTTTAACTCTTACTCTAAAACAAAACAAAACAAAAAATTGAATTAGTAGACTTAAATTTAACTAGCCATTAGGGCCAAAAAACACTCACCAAATCAATAGTCACAGCATTTAGCTCTTGCAGTCAGAAGAACAGTTTTATGGCAGAGCCTCACTTCAAGACAATCTGATCTATTAAAACAAAAAAAGTAAAAGTAAAATAAAGGCATACAAAACATATATTAGACTCTGATAGTTAATTTAACAGTTTTATTAGTAATGTTAGAATTTGCCACTGTTTCTTGGTAATAATACTCGACTTAAAAATATATTCCCATTTGTTTTCCTATTGAATTTATACTCTAAGTCATTTGTACAGAGTAGATGCTGACTCAGTGGATGAATTTAGAGGCCAGGAAAATCAGGGTATGGTTTCTCTGTGTGTTCGTCACTTCCTATGTACTATTAATTTGGGGGGGGGGGTGAAAACTTAAAGTTCCTCTGTAAGAACTTTCAGAAATCATAAATTATAGGCTATACAAAGATCTAGGAGTTTTAGACAAAGTTACAACAGACATATTATAACGTGTCTTTGTGTTTTATCATCACAGATGCAATGAATGGCACAAGTAGGAATGAAAATAAGCCCGATGTTCAGCGATGAGATAAAGAAGGCGCATACACTAGAACCTGGCCCGCTAGGGCAAAAGCGTTCTAGATGTTTCCTTAACAGAGCTGTATCTCTCACGAGATTAAAAGTGGAACCACCCTTTGACAGCACGGGGTATGTATCGCCTAAAACAGAATTTATTTTTATATCTGACCATTCGGTACAGAGCCAGGAAGCAAACATTCTGGCCGTTCGAAACCCAGGGGTGGGAAAAGATAGAAGGGCAAAACAAGAGGGTTGACGGGAAGGGCACCAGCGGGGCCCTTTTTCTGTCAGTTTCAGCCTGAGAATCGCAGCGCCGAGTGCGGGTGTGCTTTGGCCTGGTTCGGTGGAGAGGAGGGCGCTCAGTTCCCCTGCAGGCTGCACCGCCGGGTCTCCCACGCGCTCCCACCCCCACTCCCCGCTCGCTCGGCCCGCCTGCCAGGCCTCAGCTGGCAAGATGGCGCCCACGGCGAAGGCGCTGAGCGAGGGGCCCGAGGGTGGCCTTCACTTACTCGGATGAGCAGCTTCTCCGAAGCCCAGACGCTGCCACCCGGCTGGCCTCGGGAGTCACAGCCGCCTTCTTGCTCTGCGTTCTTCACTCTTCGTCGAGATCAGCTCCACATATCTTTCTGATGATCTCACTCATTCTGACTTCTACACTGCAAAGTTGATCTATAAGCAGAACCTGCCACGAGGCTTTAAAAGAGACAAAAAAAAAAAAAAAAAAAAAAAAAAGAAGAAAAGGAAAGAAAGGTGTGCTGTGAGGAGGTGGAAACACAGGAGAAAGGCTGTGGCCTCCTTATTTTGAGATTCGCTGCAGCTGCGAGTGCCACTCCCCAGCCGGTTTTTCCTGGCTGCAGAGGGAGGCCAGTGGCCGGGCGTGGGTGACGTCAGGGCCAGGCCTGAGTCATCGCCAGCGGCCGGGCTGCCCTGCCACTCCGAAGGGGACAAAAGGAACCTTTGATGTCCAGAGGCCCTCCTCTCGGCACACTCGCTGCACTGAACAGCAGGCCAGGAGAACATTCCTGTCGCCTCCCCACCCCCGCCTCCCTTCCTACTTCCGGAACAGTCCAGACAGACTGAACGAGGCCTCCCCGAAGGACATCACCCTCCTGCAGGGCACAGGCATGGCCGCTCTCTGTCAAACAGAGCAGCAGGGAGAGAAGAGGAGGTTTTTCCCTGGGGACCTCTCACTTCCCCTCTGTTTCCCACCGTGTCACTGTGGTATTCACCTTACCCAGGGAGCCACGGGGTAGCTAAAGAGATAAGGAAGGTGAACAGCACTCTTATTACTATCCCTGGCCAGTACCCAGGGCTCTGTGTCTACTCTCCTCCATCTTGTGCCAGGGCCTCAGGCCCCAGCTCCCTGTTCTCCGGGAGCCAGTGTGAATTAGCTCTTCCCGGATTTAGGAGGTTGCCACTCTTTAAGAGTGATATTAATATCCCAGTGCCTGGCATGAGGCTCTGTATACACATGATGAATGAATGATAATTTTAAAACAAACTAGCAGAGGGCATATGTTGCCTTACATGAATGTTTAAACCTATATGTGGGGGCTGGGGATTTAGCTCAGCGGCATAAGCGCCTGCCTTACAAGCAGGCAGTCGTGAGTTCGATCCCTGGTACTGATAAAAACGAAAAAGACAAAAAATAAATAAATAAAATAAACCTATATGTGGTGTGCTTTGTGAAGATGATTTCATTTATCAGCATTATCATGACAAAGCCTTCGAGTCCCAAATCTGTAGGTGGAAATTGTTGCTCAGAGAGATTAAGACATTTCTATAAAATTCTCACAGAATCTGGAAGAACCTGGATCATCTATTCGTAAACCCTATACTCTTAACCACTATATTGCATGAATGGAATGAACGAAGGTAGTATTTGAGCTCCCTGTCCAGGAGAGGGCAGTTACAAATACAAACAGGGCTTGAAACCAACTTTGACAAGGAAAACGCAGAACAATCAGGGATACTCAGTGTAGGCCAGAGTCCACATGCCCTCAGGATGGGCCAGCACCAGGTCTGAGGTTTGGCAAGGAGGCGATTACCCAGAGGGGACAGGTGGGTGGGTCTGTCCTCAGGTCCAAGTGGGGAATGAGAAGTTGGAAGCATAAAACAAAGCCAGGAAAGTCGGACAGATGTCTCTCACCCCTGCCACAGTGGACATATCTCAGAGGGAGCCAAGGCCCAGGCTTGTCTTTGTCAGACTCATGAATATAAGTGGGATAAAGGGGTAAGCCTGAAATTAAAAGGGTAAGTCTGAGGTCAGCAAGAAGACTAAAGGGAAGAAAGACGTGACAACATGCCCAAAGACTCCAAGATGCAGAATGGGGGGGGGGGGGATGATTGTGTGGTTTCAGGGTGTGAAGAGTGCTGGAAGAGATAGGGAGCATACACAGACCTGACAGTGGGAGTCACCATGTGCTCTTAGCACTGTCCGGCCGGTAATGGCTGCCTTTCTGGGTCTGAGTGAGAGTCTTGGCAAGGGCTCTGCTCAAGCAAAGGCAAGGAATGCTGGCAAAAAGAGAACATCTGGTTTGTGGGGCATTGAGGTGGCACAGCATGAAGATGACCGTGGAGGTACCCTTTCCCATGGTGTTTATGACTCTGCAGTTTTATTTTTCTGTGATTCTCTAGGGTAAGTGTTTCATTCCAAGAGGAAGGCAAAAGACGGGGATTTCTAGCTCTTTGGTGGTGGTGGAGATGCTGCCCTCCTCAATAACCACTTCACAGCTTTCCCTAGGGTGGGGTGTATGGTCCAGGGGCCCTTCCTCCTTGGCTCAGGAAGTCTGTGTCTCCGGTGGCTGGGGACACTTTGCAGTTACCATGTTCCTGGGAGCTCTGCCAGTTGCCACTCTGAGGAATGACACTTGTTCCGTGGGATCTGACTCCCTTGGCAGGTGGAATTAGCAGAGGTGACTATCAGAAGAGAAAAAGCCACATGCTTTTCATCAAGGGAGCTGCAGATTCACTGTCCCCGTCTGCACAGCGCCTGACCTTGGACTGAGGAAAACGCTTTAAGTTCCAGGCATTTTTGGCAGAAGATTTGTTTATTCTTTTCTTCCCTTTCTGCAGAAAATGCCTCTGGGCACCTCCCTGCTCTGTTTCCCCAGAGACTTGGTGGCCTTGCTTGCTTCACATACAAGGGAATTTATTTCTCTAATAATACAAACAGAGGCAGATTCATTTTCAGCCTTGTGGCACCAGGGTAATGGGAATAGAAAAAGAGGATAAAAGCAGAAATTATTGGTGCGTTTAAGCAAGACACAGACCCTAACACTGTATGCTAACAGTGCGGATAAAGCCTGGGCATTGGGCTGATCATGTACTTAGAGACATGGAGAAACAAGACAATAGCACCCCCTTGCCTGCACCCCACCTGGAGCATCCTCCTCCTTGTTACGGCAAATGTGATTCTATACTGGTGATTTTCTAACAACTTTTAAGGGCTCAAGGAATTCTTTGGAAGACTTGTCTATACTTGTTGCTTCCAGTTTCTTTCATCTCATTCAGTCTTAAAAAACAATTAAGTTACAGTTCACATATCATAAAGCTCACCCAGTAAAGTGTATAATTCACCTTTAGTATATTTATAGACAGACTTTCATGACCCAAAATCTAATTTTATAACATTTTTGTCCCCTTGCCCCCCAAAATCATTGTACTTATCAGCCATTACTCCCTAGTTGTCCTTACGCCCACCCCGAGGCAACCACTGATCTACCTCTGGCTCTATGAATTTGCTTTTTCTGAACATTTAATACAAATATGTCTGGCTTCTTTTTCTTAGCCTAACACATTAGTGTTTATCCATGTTGGAGGATATTTCAGCACTTCATTCCTTTTTATGCTCCTACAAGTTGAGGAACATTTGAATTGTTTTCACTTTGGGTTATGATGCATAATGTTGCTATGAACATTCACGTACAAGCTGTTTTGTAGAACTTGTGCTTTCATGTCTCTTGGGCAGACACCAAGGAGTGGGATGCTGCGTGATATTATAACTCTATGTTTAACATTTTGAAGAACTGTCAAACTGGCAGAGTGCCTCATGATTTCAAGTTCCCACCAGTAATGTATGAATTTATTTCTAAGTACTCTTTTCTTAACTGATATGGTTTATATGAGAAATCACATTTGTTCATAGACTTGTTAAGAGCTTATGCTTTGGCGATAGACATAATTTCAGGTCTGGCTGTATTATTATTAAGGCTGCTCAGCCTGTGACAACCTCCTTGAGTTTATCTAAAAAAAAAAAAAAAATACTACCTTACAGGTTTGCTACACAAATTAAATGAGACAATGAATAGGTAACACTCTTGTGATCATGACCCCCTTCATCTGGTCTCAGAGAAGTGTTGCAGTCCCAGAAATCAATCCAGTCACCACAACGAAGTTTCTAGTGAAGTTGTATTTAACATCTGAATCTCTCTAACATGATGTGGAGCTCCCGCAATCCTGATGCCCCTGCCTAAGCCCCTTAGACCCCGTAGTTTCTTCCTACACTTATTTCTCCCCAGATCCCTACAAAGCTTTGTCTCCAGGCCCTACCACTCTTCCCTGGGTCCTGCTCCAGTCTGCTGCTCCTGCTGCTGAGGCAGGGAAGAAATTGGAATGACAAAATCAGAACTCTAGTGGGCAGGAAGAGAAGAAAATCAGGGAACACTGAAACTTAATTTATGTTCCATCACTCATGTAAAGTGCTTAGTGCAATATCTGGTATACATTAAGTACTCAATAAATGTTGGGTTAAAAGGTTTTATTTTTGTCATGATGATTACATTATGCACGTCTATATTTCAGTAAATGATGTGGAGTTCAGACTGATCCCTGAGAATCCAGATGACAGGCTGCTCTATCCAGTAGCTCTCCTCACACATTTAATGTCATTTGGAGAGTTTGAATTTGGAACTGTTGTTTTTCCTGAAATATTTTGCAGAAAATTAGCCTCTGGACAATTAAGGGGTTCATCTTTCAGGCTTCAAGTAATGTATGGGGTTCATGTCTTCTGCTTCTTCCTAGACTCAGCATGAGGGCCCAATATTCCCTCCTCTCCTTCCACAAAATCCTTTTTTTTTTTTTTTTTTTTTTTTTCATTTTTATCGGTACCAGGGATCGAACTCACAACCACCTGCTTGCAAGGCAGGTGCTTATGCCACTGAGCTAAATCCCCAGCCCCACACAAAGCCTTCTAATACAGTGCTTAAAAACTGATGAGCAGGAGTTAGGGTAACTCAGAGAAAGAGAGAAGGCTTTGCAAATGCAAGGCTCTATATTCAAAAGAAAAAGAAAGAAAAAAGTAATTCTACTTTTGTTTTTGTACCAGGGATTGAACTCATGACCTTGCGCTTGCCAGGCAGGTGCTTATACCACTGAGCTAAATCCCCCCCCCCAAAAAAAGAAAAAATTCTATTATTTATTTAGTAGGTCAGCATTGGTTTTAACTAACAGACTAAAAGGAAGCAAAATAGAAAATATCCACATACATTATAAGTAAAAGTTCTGTTTCAGTTTTATAAGTATGTGGACCAGGTCTCTCTGTGAAATGTATTTCCTATGGTGGTTAAGGACTTTTTAAAAAAATGTTTAAAAAGCAGTAGTGGAAATGGGAAACATGAAGATTGCAAGTTCAAGCCCAACATGGGCAATTTGGAACTGGGAATATAGTTCAGTGTGAAGGTTCTGAGTTCAGTTCAATCCTAGTACCTAACCCTTATCAGCTGTTGGAAAATTATTCATTAAAGTGTTTAAACAACTCATAAGAATACACAGTGACACCAGCTGAGTGGTGGGCCCATTTTGATAGGGATGGAGACCATCACCCAGGCACGGAGGTCCCACCAGGTGTGAAGAGTTTGGGGTTATGCAGCCTCTTCTGTAGCTAATAGCACTTAGAGTAGGAATGTCTTCTAGCTGTGTGAATCCACCCATCCTATGGTAGCTCTCAGCTATCCCATCCTTTCTCTTTGATAATATCTACAAACTTGTACTCTGAACTCACATGGGATCTTCTATTTCTGAAGGCTCATGTACTCCATCTCCTTTCACTCTCATGCCTATCCTAAGAAGCAGATAGACTAGACTCTGATTGACCACCAAAGATTGACCACCTACAGCTGAGATACTTAATGTCTGAGCTGTAAACTCCGACTCCTCAACTATGTCTCATTACAAAAACAGAAAATGTAAGACACCTGTCCACTATCATAGAGCCTGAAAAAGATCAGGAAGAACAGTGATCTTTCACCTTCCAGCCTTGGTGTCCTAGAGGCTCCCCTGTCTGTCTTCTTTTGGAGGTATGATTCATCTGACTGCCTTACCAAGAATGGTAAGTAAACAAAGACCATTTTTCACCCCACCATATCTAAAACACTTACTTTTATGGCGCAAAGCATAAGACAACCTGCCTCATAGTTAAGGGTTATCACTCCCAACATCAAAGACTATTTATTTAAGGCCGGCTGTCAGAAACTGAAAAAAGTAAAGGAGAAGAGAAAACCAAGTTTCCTGGGTGCTCTGTTTTTATTTTTTGTGCTGCAGAAAAGTCCCCTCTAGTGGCTCTGGAGGAAAACAGCCTCTGGAAACAGATTTACAGTACGGAGGTAGCCAGAGGAGCCGAAAGCGTGCTTGGCTCCCTGACTGCCTTCACTGATGAGAAACCAAGGACAAGAGCAGCAGTATGCAACTGGGGGCAGTTGTGTCCCCCAAGGAACGTTTGGCCACTTTGGGAAACATTTTTCTTTTGTCATCAGCTGCAAGGTGGGTGAGGACAAGGGTGTGTGCATGCTACTGCACCAGTGTGTGAGCCAGGGGCAGCCCTGCCCTGAAAAAGAATTCTCAGTCTAATGTGTCAACTGTGCTATTTCTCCCTGAGGTAGAGAAATAGCGTGACTTAGGTGGGGGCTGGCAACTTCTTCATGGCTTGACAGTTCAGGCTGAGTGTTGCCTTCTTGCTGCTTTACAAATTTTTTAAATTGGAATTGTTAAAAGCCAAAAAACAATACATGCTCATAAATAAAAGCAATTTAATAAAAGCCTATCTCCTCACTCCTCCCCATAGTCAGTGTTGACACCCTTGAAGTTTATGAGTTCAATTGGCCTCAAATACTCATCGTGGACCGTGTCACATATCAAAAATGGCTAACTAAGGTTTTCAGCTTTGTGTTCACACTGAGACAGGTGTCACTGCACCCATGGAGGATTCTTTTGACTTTGCTGATCGAATTCAACAACACATTACTTACTTATATTTAGGAAATTAATGTGAGGAGTTAAGATGGCCCGTGAAGGATCACAAATCCCATAGTGTGTGTCCCTAAGGACTCTCTGATGCTTGAGGTCTCACCTTTTTGTAGAGTTTGGTTCAGAATTAGAATCTTTTCTAGACCTTGTTGTCTGACTAAATATCGATAACATTGTTTTGTCTTTGTATTTAATCTTACAGACAGTTTTTATTTCTAGAAAGTAATGCAATGTTGGTTTTCTACTTATATTGACTGTGGCATAAAAGTTCATTTTTGTGACAGATTTGTGTAAAATACTGAGACAACTGAAATAGAAGTGTTTTAGTGGTACAATGTGGTTAGAATCTGGGAAAAAGTGATCTCACTCATTCTTAGTATGTCTGGCCATAAATTGTTTAATCCATTCTTAACTGATGAACAAATTATTTTTTTCTATAATTAAAAAATTGTTTGGCAGGTAGAACTATGTTGCAATAAATATCCCAATACTTTCATTTTTAAAGTTATGCTAAAATGCAGTGTACAAAGTGAGACTGTTGACTCAAATAATTTTGTATATTTTAATAGATATTTCTAAATAATTCCCAAAAAAGTTGGAATAAATTATACTCCGACCAGCAATATATAGATTGAATATTCTCTCACATCTTGGACATCACCTGATATTATCAGTCTTTTTAAATTTTATCAATCTGATGGGTAAAATTAAGCATCTCACCTTTCCTTTAATTTGCATTTTTCTGACTTTACCAGTTAAGTGCACAGACTCTGAGGCCACATTCCTTGGATTTGAGTCCACCTGCCAGTTAATGATTGTAATTTCTTGGTTAAGATACTTTTCACATCTATCAAAGGGAGAGAATAAATGTGTGTACTCCTTAGTGTAGTTATGAGAATTAAGTTGATATGTGTCTTAGGAAATAGCCTAGGTTATACTGAGCATTATATAATTATTAACAGTGAGTTTGAATAGCTTTTGTAAATTTATTGATCATTTGGATTTCTTTTTTGTGCAGCATCTTTCCATGTCATTTGCCTATTTTCCTTTTTATCTGTTTGTCCCTTATCAGTTTGTAAGTGCTCTTTGTTTACTAGGAATCTTTAGGCACATATGATATTTGTGTTATGAATACACATTTTCTCCACTGATTCATTGTTGTTCTAACTTTATATGCAATACATATTTAAATAAAAACATTTAAATTTATATGACATCAAACACTCTTATCTTCTAAGGCCCCTGTGTTAGCTATGCAGAACTTATACCTTTAATAGTAAACCAACATGCTTCTAATGTTATGTACTGTTATTATTTTATTTAACTATTTAAACTTCCACAAATATAAACTACAGTAGTAAGGAAAAAACCTCCAAATAATTTCTCAGTAAGTTATCTTGCTACCTGAAGAGTCTTTCCATCTTGAAAAATATCTTTAATCTGATCCTATTGTCCAGTTCTTCTCCTGCTTTTTGTTCTAAAAGTTCCTGTACCTTTCTGCATCCTTTTTTCTTTTTTCCAAACTGAGTCTGACAGCTTATTCCTCTCTGTTACCGGAATGTAGCAACTAGATGATGTCGGTGACCTCCTTGTAACCAATCTTAATAAATTTCTGTTCACCTTCATCCTTCTTGTCCTCACTCTGCCCTTTGACCCTACCAGACATTCCCATATTCAGGTAAGACTATCCTTTGTTGGGTCAAGAACACTGCATTAGTCTGGTCTCCTTTGGCCTTGGCAGGAAACACCATTGTTTGTCTATCCAAGAACCACATGGATTTTCCCTTCCTTTTTGCTGACAGAGCTTAGTACCAACTACAGAGCCTGGCAAGGGCAGATGTGCACCTTCTCAGCCTACCCCGGAGCTAAGGCACAAATGTGTGGAAATGTAGTGTTGTCCCAGCCAGTGGCACACAAAAGGAACTTTTTAAGCAATTACACAAAGAGGTGATGCTCTGAAGAACAGCAGCATCTTCCATCCATGAGAGGAAAGGTCGGAGCATAAAAGCCAGTACACTAAGATGACAGAAATATGGAAGAGCTGGATCCTTGTTAATATTGATAAACTATGGACCAACTCTAGAACCATCTATCCTTGGATTTCTCGCTAGTAAGACAGTATGTCTGCCATTCCAGCTATTCATGGTTCAGTGTTTTCTTGCAGCCCAAAGCTTCCTTGCTGAGCACACATATTACCCAATCGTGGCTACTTATGGGCCTCCTGAAGGCTCTCCTTATCTCTAGTCCCTTCCCACTACCCTGCATCTATACCATTCTCTCTAATGAGACAGTTAGATTGGAGACTGCTAGCTTGAGCCTTTAGTAGTACCATATTGCTAAGTGAAAGAAGCCAGTCACAAAAAAGCAATCCTATGTTATATGATCCCATTCCTATGAAATGTCCAGAAGAGGGAAATGGTTTGGGAATAGAAAATAGATTGGTGGTTGCTTTGGAGAAGGGGATGAAAGTTTAGAAAGGGGACACCTAAAGAGTACCAGGTTTCTTTGTGAGGTGATAAAAACATTTTAAAATTGACTGCAGTGTTAGTTGAGCCCACCTGCGCATATGTGGATATTCCTCATTTAACAACCTACTTGTTTAATGACTGTTTGGATGTAGTACCTGCTACTGCAGCTTACGACTTGCATTTGGACTTCTGATGCAGGAACACAAAGAGCACTGTGGCCTTATGGTGAATTTTTCCACAGTATAATACTGTAATTTTGCTGGCTGTACTGACAGTACAGTACTACCGTTTTATGTTCTTTTATATATTATGGTACTGAATGCAAGCATTATGCAATAAAAACAAGGTCATCAAGTTGGAGTTCCCTTTAACCATTTCTTTGTTCTGAATATAGGAATATACACATTATACACAATTTTTCATTTAGCAATCAGTTAATTTAACGACTCAGTCATAGGACTGTAACTCGGAAGATGCCTATTTTCTCCTTAATCTTTCCAGGCAGAAAGCCCTCTGCTCCTCTGAACTCATACAATTTAGTACATTTCACATGGTGCTTATCTCGTCTTCTTTTGTAGGTTTACATATCTATAACCTTATTAACTCTTCAGGGCACATAATTTCTGAATCAAATATTAGGTGGTAACTATGTATTAAATCAAATGTATTATGTATTATTTAAATGTAACTATGTATTAAATCAAATATTAGGTGGTAACTATGTAAGAAAGAATATTACATAATTTAGAAAATTTGGATTATTTGGATGCCATGATTACCTCCCACTAACGCTTAAGGTCTTTGTTGGATATCCTTCCTTCTCTCACAGAATTCTCACCTCTATCTCAGGTGGATGAAGTAACATGGCTTCCTTCTTTCTGTACAATGCATGGGATGTATAGTTGGCTGATTTATTTTATAACAAAAGCTAAATTGATGACACAAGCTTTTTAAAAAGACCAAAAAAGTACCATAGGGAAGAATGAAAGAAAATATTTTTTGTAATCTATGATGATGAAGATTTTCTTAAATAAATCACAAAAGCCAAGCCTGGTGATACACACCTGTAATCCCATCATAGGAGGCTGAGGCAGGTGGATTACTATGAGTTCAAACCTAGGCAGGGCTACATAAGCAAGTTCAAGGTCAGCCTGCACTACATGGTAAGACCCTATTAAAAAAATTACAAAATCTTCGATATCATAAACAAGTTATCGATAGATTGTTTTACATAAAACCCAAACATTCTTTATGGCCCCAAATCCCATACACAAAGTTAAAAGATAAATGATGTACATTGAGAAATGATTTTCAAGAATATAATAATGAAAGGATTGATATCAGCATTAAGTGAACAAGCAACGGGTTAGAAAAAGGCAAAGCCTGTGAAGAAGTTAGTCATGGAAAAAATAGAAATAAGAAAAGAGCATCTGAAAGATATTCAACAAGACTGGCATCAGGGAAGTGGAGAACAATACTGAAAGGGTCACTAGCCCATCAGACTGGCAGATGAGTGATTAAAAATATCTATAACTGTCACATGTACAGGGAAAAGATCAAACATGAGTAGCAGAGACGGGGGGATTGAGCCTACATGTGGTATTTATAATACATAATATATAATTTTGAAAAGGACAATTTGGTGGGACCTAATTATTTTCTGCAACTTATTACACTCATAGTTACCCAGGGGAACTTTTAGAAAGCTGTTTTGGTGATTAATGAAGAACATTTCAAATCCTTTCTGTCCTGATTTTCCCATTCTAAGTGTATCCATTCATATGGATACACTTTTAAAGATAATTTCCTGATTACTCACAGTACGAAATGGAGAAGCTAGACAACAACAAACATCGTTAAAAACCTTACAATAATTCTTTACCTGAGAGTTTATTTTAAAATTCCCTGTATTTGCTTGGGCTGCTATTAGCCAGTGTGTGGTGCCTGAACTACTGACCGCCCTGTGGAGTAGGGTGGGGAGAGGGCAGGGCTATCTCTCCTCCCTGACCCCTCTGATCAACTTGCACTTGTGAAAATGTTTTTTGATTCTTGCAGCTTGGTTGCGCTTTCAGGTAAGGCTGGATATCCGGATAGGGTTTATCAGCCTGTGAGATCTTCCAAACAGCCAGCGCTGTTTTTGTTTTAGACCCCGGAGGGCTCTCGCACGCCGCTGTCCTTTCTAAGCAGGGCCATCTCAGCCTTGTGACACTTGTGCGTGTTAGAAAAGGGTGTCCTGGGAGCAGCACCCTGCAGGCCGAGCTTCTGCAGGCCCGCTCTCACCTCACACCACAATCTGGCCGTCCTGTGCCTTACGCCAGCCCTGCTCCAACTGCTGCAAGGAAATGTCGGCCAGTTGTCATTTCTTCATTTCAGGCGGTCACAGGGCTCAGAGGCACCCCCTCATTTAATGCTGCAGACACGCGTTTCTTTGCATGGCTTCTCTGGGCTTTTCCTTGAGATTTCGCCAGGCGTCCAGACTTCCTTTGTTAAAGCTTTTGGCCTCCCCACCCCCACCTCTGCCACACAGCCACAAACACCCCATCCACAGGCAGAGTGTTCGTCTATGAAACGCAGGGTGGCACAGAAGTTAATTGGTATCGTACCCTTTTTACTGCTGTGGCCTTATCAGCAAAAAGAAGGATAAAGTAATTTTCTTCCTAGCCTTGAGTTCTGTGTTTTGGGGTGGCTAGCTCCTCTTCCTCAGGGGGAAAAATAGCTCTTTGTGCTTCTCAGCCTAAAATAAAGATGTCCTGGGTTCCCAGAAAAACTTTCCACTCATATCTTTGTTTGAAATCCAGACTTACGACAACATTTTTCAGGACAGTGGAGATGATTACTGTGATTAAAGGGGGAACCCTGTTGGTGGGATCCCTAAGCCAGGAAGTCCATGTATACATGTGCATGTATATGTATATGTATATGTATATGTATATGTATATGTATGTACATGTGTGTGGAAGGGGTGGGACAGGTTTTCAGGTTGACAGGGTCAGTGTCTTACCATGCCTGCAGAAACTGAGGGGTAGGCCACTGGAGGGCCTATAGTGCCCAATACTGCATACTCTGAGTTTGAGAGCTGGGATGAGAGTTCCCATGAATAATCACCTGTGGCCAGTGGAGATGAGAGCACAGTGGGAGGAAGCCCTCCATGGACCCTGGGGGCCTGACTGGTTTAATACAAAGAGTTACAAAGCACAATGGTGGGTGTCTTGGTCAGAGAATCAGGACACCCTCCTTCTCCCTCTGTCCTCCAAAGCCTGTAGAGGGGACAAGGACACCCAGCAATCATGGTACTGGGTTCTTCCCCAGCCTTAGAAAGTGAGGAATATGAAGCCAAATTAATGTGATTTTAGAGAAGTATAGAAAGATGACATTCTTTGGACCTGAGTGTCATAGGACATTGTCACTTGTTACCCCCCTTCTCTCTCTGTAATATAATCTAGGAAATTCCCCCTTGAGAGGAGAGGGGTATCTGCATTTTAAGCAGTTTTGAGCAGTTTCCTCTCAAGCTCTCCTTCCTCTCATTATAATCCCTGCTTCTTAGAAATTCATCTGTACAGCAGGTATAGTTTAGTGTACAACATGCATAGCATTACATTAGTGGAAACCTGAGTTCTTAAAATCTTGGCAAGTGACCCTGCACTCCTCATTCTAAAATATTATAGAAATAAGATTTTCAAGAATTATGAGAATGAGGCCTGGAATTAGGCCCAGATGTAAACTTTGATTACGCCGATGATTCTCCCAGTGTCCCAATGGGAGTTGTCTGAGGAGCAAAGGAAAGTATGAGACCTTAGCCACCTGGGTTGGTTCCTTTAACTCAATCAGAATTTTGAAGTAATACTCACTGTGCAGAAAGCAATGTGCTCAACACTCTGGGAGACAGAAGTAAAACACATGGGTCCTTCCAAGAGGAAGTTACCACCTTGCTGGAAAAATACCCAGAAAGCCCATGAAGGGAACAGAGAGGCCTAGTTGGACACAAGGAAGGAAGGACAGGGAACCACGCGGGCTGGATGAGTTGGAGAGGTCTCCTCGGAGGGGAGCACTGGGAGGAAATGTCCATTCAACTTCCCTGCTTAAGTTAGCCAGAAGAGGGAGGTAGAGGGGAAAGAAATGCTCCAGGGAATGGGAAGCTACTTGGACAGAGGGCTAGAGAGGCGCATGATCACCATCTGGTTGTGAGGTAGGTCATGCATGTTGGGAGTAAAGGGAGCCACAGGGAATCAGACCCAGTCAGCTTGCAGATGGCTTTCAACACCGGGCAAAGGACTTCAGACCTGAGGCAGATGGGTTTGTAGCTCAGAAACGCCTGGTGAGAGCAGGATTTAAGGAGATTAGCAGGAAGCTCCCACAGGACATACCAAGTGTCAGGGGTTCTGTGGGTTAGTAATGATTGCTTTGTACTGACTCTTAAGATATTTTTTTAAGTTAACTTTGAGCTGCAAGCATTATGTTTATTGTGTAGAACTTCTTAAAAGTTCTTACGATATGATTTAATTCACGTGATTAAAAAACAAGTGTGAAAGGATGGACTTATGGGATTGACAAATTCAACAGGAAGATTTGGGTTAAAGAAATGTGGGATGAGATCACACACACACACACCCACACCCACACACACACATGAGTGTTGACTTTCTAGGGTGGTGATAAGTTGCTTCAGAAGTTGTCTGATGACCACATTGTGCTACAGGGCCACACTCACAGGAGGGACAACTGGAGTGTCCCTGCGGACAGCTGATAGAAGTCCAGGAGAGCTTCCAAGAAACTGTCTCAGCCACCTCACTGCATTCGGTGGCTCTTTTGCAAGGTTCATTTGTGCATTCACATTGCATTCAAGTATTAATATCTGCTAAGGCACTGTGGAAGGGGTAGCCTTCAGCAATGGATATTCGACACGGTCTCTATCGTCCAGTGGGACAGCCAGGTGTGCACACAAATGATGGCAGTTCAGAGCCTTGTTCTATTTCTTCTCCCCCTCCCTATATCCTTCACTCTGGAAAAGTCAAATATGAGTTGCATTGCTAGGCAACTGGAACTTAGTTTTCTTCCTTGAGTTCCAATATCAACTCTTGTTCTTGAGAGAGTAAAAAGTAATCCCAGCACTCTGGGATGGAGGGGGGAGGATCACAAGTTTAAATCTAGATTAGGAAACATAAGGATTCAGTAAGACCCTGTCTCAAAATTAAAAATAAATAGATAAATAAATAAATGGAGTGGGGGTGTACCACAATGCAAAGGTCCTGGGTTCAATCCCCATACTGAAAAAAGAAATGACATGTGCTAAAGTTTCCAGAATTCCTTACTTTTCACTCTAACTTCCAAGGAGTGTGGGTTGAAGGAAGTTTTCCTGGTTCAGCTGACCTGTGATGAGCGAGACAAAATGAGCAGGATGGAGGGGCCAGATCAACCCCAGGTCTAAGCTCTGAAGGAAGAGAGGATTAAGGTAGGTTTGGGGGTGGAGGGCTTGGTTTAGAGAAAAGGAGAAAGGGGGAGGGAGGAGCGGTGGAAGGAGTAAAGGTAATGGACACAGAGATTGGTGGGGTCAGGGAGCAGGAGGGCTGGGTCTGAGTGATCTTGGTGAGCAAGGGGACTGGGAGAAAAGGCATCTGGCCTGTCCAGGGGAATCTCCGCTGGGCATTGTGCTGTGAAACCCCCTCATCATGTTTCACACTGCGCAATTTTTCAATGCTTTGGGGAGGGAATTGGGGAGGTGCTATGGCCTGAATGTGTCCCCCAAATTCATGTTTGCAAACTTAATCCCAAATGCAGCAGTGTTGGGAGAGGGGGACTTTTGAGAAGTGTTTCAGCCATGGGAAATGTTCTTATCAATAGAACAAGAATTCAAATTATATTAGACTCATCTTAAGCAACCATGGATACTAGAAATATGGGAACAATTTTCCAAAGTTCCAAGAAAATCAAGGATTTCAACCTAAAAATGCACTCTTAGCCAAGGTAGCATATCAATTAAGTATGGTAATAAAATAAGGAAAACTTAGCACCTACACACTTTTCTCTTAACAAGTTATATGCTCAGCTTTAGCAAATAACAGAAATTAAAGAAGAAAGAGCAACATGTGGGCTCCAGGAAGTAGTCAAATCCAGTGAAGACCCAGAGTCAGAGTCAGAGTCTGATTACATTAGAGCAGGGCAAGAGTAAAGAAGAGGATCTGATAGAACACCTGATCCCACCATGAGGTTAGATAATCTTGGGGGATAAAATAATGGCAAACATTCTCAGAAAGGCAAATATAAAGCAAAACCCCAAACAGCTATACAAAAAAGAGAAATGTAATTAATCAGGTTGATTCCTAACCCAAAATTAAATAATATTATCTTTGGTCACATAAACATAAACATTGTTAGTCATTTTCAACTCCTAGACTAACCTGCAGAGAGAGCAGAAGATTTAGTTTTGGTTATAGAACAGATTTCAAATGTCATAGAGGATCTGCTCTTTATCTCCATGTATAAATGTAATGATTTGCTGTCTAAGAGATTCACTTCCTCCAGCCATGGGGAAATGTCTTTTATTTCTTATTATCCACTTGTGTGTGTGTGCATGTGTGTGTGTGTGAGACATCCTGCATAGCCCTCTGTCACTCCTTTATTTTCCCTTATGATATCCATCTCTTTGTCACTTGCTCTGGGAAATTTTTGAAATTATATATCCCAAAGCTTCTGTTACATACTCACACACTAACACTGCATACATACCACATGTATTTTACCATTTTCTTAAATATGCAAAGGCATTTAACAATTTTTCAGTTATTCCTTTGCCATTGCATCCTTTTTTTTATGATATAATAACTTCTCAAATTTTTCTGAGGATACTACTTGGGAGTTTCTTTCTTATAACCTTTCTTTAAATATCTGGTCATCTTCAGTTGTTTTTACTTCAGAATGAGGCAATCAGATTTTAATTTTTGTTCCTGGAAGGGCTTATTATTTGGGGCCTTTAGCATGCTGTGATTCAGTTCTGCAGTTACTTTCAGTGTAATCCTAGACTAGCCACTCTGCAGTTTAGTTTCTTACTGGAGTTGTGAATATTAAAATGAAGTAATACATAACGTACTCATTACAGCATTATGTAACTATTAGCTGCTTCTATTATTTTTGTTATAAAACTTGCTAGTGACCCAGCTATTTAGCAAGGGAACTCCTACATGCCAGTATATTACTGTATGATCTTTGAAAAGAGAGCAAGGTCATTGACGTTTGCTTTCCCTACTGGGCTAACTGCTGCTTTGTGCATTTTGTTTATCACCATGGTTTCAACCACATTATCCATTCCGCTGATACCTACAAACTGCCTTGTCTCCCAAGTTTCTCACTGTGAAAGGGTTCCCACTCAAGTCTATCCATCTCTAACCCTCATTCGTGTAATGTGAGATTGGCTTCCTTTATTCTCTTCATGCTACCACCACTCTTCCATCCACCATCTACCGTCCAGAAATTCTTTGAAATCATTTATCTGGTGAGAGGGTGCCCTTTCTATTGCTGGCTGGTCATCACTTTTCAAGTGCTTTTACTGTTATTTTAGTGTGCCTGATAAATCAAGTGTGCTTAATCTGCCATCTTTAATCAGACATTATAAACTCTCTTGATAAATACAGTGCCAGATTCCATGTTTGAAATCCTAGCTCTTTTGTGTGTTTTTCTTACAGTTGCAAGTCCATTAAGTTTGGGTAAGATGAGGAAGGGAGAGAAGAAAGGAAGTAGCGGCCACAGTAACTAGCTGTGGTTGAAAGCCTTTTGGAGATAGTCTACTAGTAACATTCTCTTCAAATACAGTTCATTTTAATTTGCAGTCAGCAGGAAAAAGGATTTTAGGCAAAGGTTCAGGGAAGACATTGCAAATAGTGATACAAATAAATCACTTAAAGGAGAAGATATAATTACTTTCAAGTTCCAAAATTATGAGCATTTTTTTTTACTGTAACCATTACCTGATCATTTCTCCTTGGCACTACTGATGACAGTCAGTACTGCATATATATTAGTTCAAGGGTAAATGTGGGCTATTTATTAAAAGCAGAGTACTAAATTCAATTATGAATAACATTCATTTCTTGGAATGTGATTCACTATTCCCATTACATTTATCACATGAACATATTCAGTAAAGTTAAGCCACAGCTTGAAGCTCAAGATGGTGGAATTCACAAGCACTGATGACATTTAGGCATTTTAAAATTTTACTGTCAGGTAAATATAACTTCAATAGGTAAGGAATTATCTTTTCAAACAAATGATTAGAAATAATAATCTGAATGTGGTGGCACGTGCTTATAATCTCAGTATTCTGGGAGACAGAGGCAGGAGGATGGCATGTTTGAGCCCAGTCAGGGCAACTTAATATCTTAGCAGGATCCTGTCTCAAAAATTTAAAAAGGGGTGAGAATGTAACTCAGTGAAAATGCCTTAGGTTCAATCCACAGTATCCCCCCAAAAAAGAAAGGAAGAAAGGAGATTTGCTAATAGTTAATTGTCTTACTTTTCTCACTGCTGAAACAAGATACTCAATACCCAAACTTAAAGGGGAAAAGGTTTATTTAGCTCACAGTTTGTAGAGATTTCAGTCTATAGTCGAATGGCTCAAACGCAGGGTGGCATGGCAGAGGAGAAGCAGTTCTTGCAGGAGAAAAGGTAGCAAAGCAACAAGGAAGACTTTAACAGTGTTTTTCTGTTCCTCTCATGTCGTATCTGGAGTGTAAGTAATACTCATACCCTTAGACCTAGTGCTCTTGAGCCCAACATTGCACCACATCAATTCCAGTATTACACACTCTAGATCCAACCACCTCTGAAAGGTCCCCACCTGTGACCACATGAGATTTTGGTGGGACATCTAGTCACAAGCCATAACACTAACTCATGTTAAAGGACGTTTAATCATAACCTGAGTATCAGGCAGAGTCTAATCAGAACTATAGAAACCACTACAAACATAGATAACAAGGAATTGGCTATACAGGTGACAGAGACTCACAGAAGCTTAGTGACAACAGGAAGTCCTTCCCAGTCTTGGGCTGAAGAAACAGAAAGCAATGGGAGCTGCAAGCAAGGCAGTCTTTCTGGCAGCAGCTTGAGCCAGGCCACTACTCTTTGAGGTACCACCTGAGGAATAGAGGCTTACAGTAGACACCTGGCCTGTCCCTCTCTCCTGTCTGCCAGTTCTTCTCATTGGCTGAGCCCAGATGGCAACTACTTGACCCACAAGCTTGGAAAACCTGTTTGCAGAGGTCAGATCCATGTGATACAGAGCAAGTTGGTAAAGAATGCACCTGAAAGCAAACAGAACCATGACAGGTACAACAGATGCATTATCATGTACATTGCCTTGGTTAAATATATTCTAAGGAATTGTGCAAAACATAAATGCTTATATGTGTGTGCACACTTCTGAAGCTTTGAATGTACTCAGATAAAATGAGCCATAAACTATTGCTAATATAGCTAGCAATTTAATGATATTCTCTGTTTTTAAAACAGGAAATATGTCAACCAACTACATTTGGACATGATAACTATTTCTCTCTTTTCAGTTTATCTCCAACCTAAGATAAGAAATGCGCAGTCCAAGATGCCCAGCTCCCATTCCCATACCTGCATAAATTCTATGCCACACTCATACACAATTCATCATACACTTCATGGCTTTTAAAACCAACATCTATGTTTAATGCTTCTTAGATATTTTCACGAGCATATAAAAAAGTAATGTTTTGAAACCTAGGCTTCACAAGTAATGAAGAACTCTTTTCTAGTTCTTCTTTTATCAAAGCTAATGGTGGAAGTGCCAAGCTGGCTGTTGCTCCTCACTAATTTCCGCCTGGCTGACAGCAAAATAAAACATGTGGAGTAGACAGCGCCGTCTTTCAGAGACTCTGAAGTCTAAGGGCACGTGGGGGAAGGCTGAAGGCTGGCCCCTTCAGATGTGAGCAGTAAGCCACAAAAGGAAGCCCCGTGGCCAGTCTGAGGGCAGTGGGCACCTTCTGCTGGGCTGTGGAGCGGCCAACTAAGCCCAACTGGGCCCTGACTCATTTCCTAGCTTCCCGAGTGTCTCACTGTACCTCTCTTCTTGCTCAGGAAGACTTTAAGCCCAAAGGAAAGAAACAAAACAAACAAACAAACAAAAAACCACACGAAGCTGTAGTTGCGTTGCCTTTTTTTGCCCTAACCTTTTTCTGCAATGGAATAATAACTTGGATGAATGAGAAGGAGCTGTACAATTTGTTCTAAATAATAATAACAAATAAATAATAATAAATTGGGGAAAAGGGAACTAAGCAGTAAGAGAATAAATTAAAGTGGAAGGTGCTAATGAGGAAGCTTCCTGGCCAAGGTTAACTTTAATTTCAGTGAGCAAAGTTCACTGTCCTGAGCGTGGGCTAATTACAGAGCACATTAAGTAGCTAGATGCCCAGGCCAGGTAAAGAGACTCACTGGGGTAAGAATTGGATTTCTGTATTTTTTAAAGGGCCCCTGTAATTCCTGTGTGAAACCAGTTTGGATAATCTCTGAGCCTCACTTTGGGCACAGCATGGCCAAAGGTTGACAATGGTTTTAGAGAGAAGTGGTTGGTTTTACTACTAGGAAATCACCACACTGTTCAGAGCATGAGCCCAATGGGGAGGGCTTCCAGGACATTATTTTGCCTCCCTAAGCCAGAAACTGGCCCTACACCTCTTTTAGGAGTCTCTGAGCAGAGGTTCTGGGTAGTGGTGGGGGGCAATCCTGTTCCCCAGGAGTCCTTGGGGATATCCATGGAGGCACTTTCAGTTGCCACAGCGATTTGGTGGGTGAGAACCTGAAAGGAAACCAAACTGTTAGGATGGATGAGGGAGGGATGAACGGAAGCTAACATGGGAACCTATTGTGTGTTAGACACTAAGATAGGATGGCCACAAATTATAGTAGTTGGTACAAAAGCTATGACAACATGCAGAGATTTCTTGTCCACAAAGGAACTTTTGTCTTCTGGCCTTTACAAATGGAGGCTGGAGCCTCAGTCTCTGTTGGCTGGTGACTTTAGGGAGGCTCAGACTGCCACAGAGAAACGGACCAGTATCCTGAGCAACCTCAGTGGAGCTAGAACAGGCAGAAACCATCACTTTTGGAGTAAACAAATATCCACAAAAATCTTTGCTTCAAATATGAGATGGCCTAAGATTACCATAAAGGGATCATCTCAAGGTACTTATATGGCTCTTACTCATGATAGTGGGTTTCAGTGACATAGTCTGTTGTTTAAATTACACAAATGCAGTCACAATTCACGTCTAAGATTCTCAAACTTTTCCAACTAACAGGAGAGGGAAGAAAACTTGGGGTGAAACATACCACCTATTTGATCTCCTTTGCTTAGTCTTTCTCCATACCTCCCATCTCCTGGCTTGCCCCATTCCTGGGAGAAGTCCTGTAGCTCAGTCACCTGAAGGGGATTCACATTTTAGTTTCGTGTCATCACCTAGTTTCCAAGGGCTCTTGCTTGTGTCTGCTACTTTATAATCCCCACCACACTGGCTTTTGTCACCTAACACCATGCACAGGGGTCCTCAAATGATGCTGCTGTCCTGCTCCCTTGAATGGAAAATTCCCAGGATTTGGAGGCAATCACAAGATGAGACAGGAGTTTGGCCTGACTTCTGGAATTTTTGTTGCTGGTAATTGCCCATGTTTTTCAGAGTAGAGATTACCATGCACCTCTGATACCTTTTCTGTTGCTCCTCTTCACTTCCTTGCCTTAGACTTCTTTGTATTCACGCAACTGCAAGGCTAGTGATCTCCTAGATCAATCCTGATGATACAGAATGCCATTCCTAAAGTGCAGGAGGCTGATGGAATGCAGCATTGTCTCTGATGTTATTGACTGTCATACACACATACACTTGCATATATTTGTTCTCAATGGTAATGAAACATGGTTTCATATATATACAAGAAGGCTCCTCTGCTTTTATTCAATTTTCTTCCCTTCCACTCCCACATTAAAGGTATTCTCTGTCTTCCTGAGCTAAAGGCCTTCTCTGTGCTCTTGTCCATATTTTTCTTTCTCCTTCTGGAATCATTGTTTTTGTCACCACCTTCAGTCTCTTATTTTCTTCCCACAGCTGGTACATGGATGCAGATCTTTCATTTTCTTTTGTTTCAGACAGACTTCTGCATGAGTGCTTGTGCTCACCCCATAGTCTCCCCCCCGGAACCCCTGCAATCTGCATTAGAGTCACCATAGCTATGGTTTCAGGGAAAGCTGCCTTTTGCTACTTTATAATCTCCACCACACTGGCTTTCATCACCCACTGGCTTCTTCTTAAAATTTTTTTTTTATTTGCTGAATACTTTAGATTTTCCAGAGTTTTCAAATGGATTAAAAAATATAGACAATAGTATAGTAAACGTAATTATTTAATCTGTTCTTTGCTGAATTGTTATCCAATAAATTACAGAAACCTAACATTTCACTTTGAAATAATTCAGTATGGGGGCTGGGGATTTAGCTCAGTGGCATAAGCGCCTGCCTTGCAAGCAGGCAGTTGTGAGTTCGATCCCTGGTAACGATAAAAAGGAAAAAGACAAAAAAAAAAAAAAAAAATTCAGTATGCATTGCTGAGTCCCAGCGTAGTACTATTGGGAGATGAACATTTTAAGAGATTTAGTAGCTGGGCATGATGGTGAGCAACTGTAATGCATACCTGGAGGTTGAGACAGGAGGACCATCACAAATTTGAGACCAGTCATAGACCAGAGCTACATAGCAAGAACCTGTCTCAAACACACACAGAGAGAGAGAGAGAGAGAGAGAGAGAGAGAGAGAGAGAGAGAGAGAGAAAGAGAGAGAGAGACTTAGTAAGTAATTAGGGAAGTGCCCTCAAAGGTGATCCCACCCCTTCCTCTGGCTCTCTTTGCTTCTTGGCCACCATGAGGTGAGCAGTTTGCTCCACTATGTAATCCCCATCAAGTGTGCTATCTTACTCCTGACCCAAAAGTAACTGGACCAACCAATCAAAGACTTGAATCTGCAAAACTATGAACCAAAATAAAATTTTCTTATTTTCTTCCTTACAAGTTGATTATCTTGGGATTTATCACAGTAACAATGTTGACTAAATATTTCTTATATTCAGCCCACATTGTTCTATTTTTCATTTTTATTTGAATGTTTCTTATGTTCTAAGAAAGAAAGTTAAAGTTTAGCGAAAAGTTAAAAAGATAAAGACTTTGCTTTAAAGACATATGAGGCATTCAAGTGAATTCTATCAATATTGAATACTTACTGTATTGAAAACTATCTGTATATAGACAAATAAGAAGCATCATAAAAGCAGGCCAGTGAATAGGAGAAAATACTTGCAAATAATATTTTTGCAAGAGGACTTGTGTCTAACATACAAAACTCTCTTATAACTGAATAATAATTTCAGGAAATGGACATACCTCCATTGAGCTGCTCCGACAAAAGTTTAGGAGCCATGGGCAACCACTTTTCCTTCTTAAAGGGTACCCAATTCATCAAAATCTGTATCAGTCCTATTTTCAAAATGCACTTAAATCTGACCACTTCTTACTCTATCCATAGCTTATTTCTTTGCCTTAGGCAACTATCTTCTCTTCCTTAGATTCCCAAAGTAGCCTCCTTCCTGGTTTTTTTGAATCTATTCTACTTTACCTATGATATATTCTCCACATAGGAGCATGGTGGTTCTCTAAAAATTTAAAGCAGATCATATTGTTCTTTAGCACAAATCTCCAAACTTCCCATCACACTCAAAATCACTCCAAAGTTCTAACCATGACTTCAAAAGCTCAAGTGATCTGGATCTGGTGCTACCTCCAATCTTTCTCTGCTGATTCAAATTTGGCCTTGCTGGCTCCCTTATATTTCTTGAACTTACCAGTGTGCTCTTCCATACGATCTTTGCATCTACTGACCTCTGCCTGCAGTACTGATTCACCTGAGATTTCACTGGCTCACACTCTTGCTTCACGCAGGCCTCTACTCAAATGTCACAACCTCAGGAAGGTTTAAAATCCCCTCCTGCAACTAACTGATCCTTTATTTTATTTTACTTTATGTAATGGGGATTGCACATGTTAGTCAAGTACTCTACCAATAAGCACATCCCTAGCTCTCAATCATTTATTTTGCTTTGGTTTCATTTACAGTGTTTGAATTATCTTAAATTATAGCATGAATTTGTTGCTTGTTTCTTAAATGTCTCCACCACTAAAATGCCAGCTCTATATGGGCAGAGACCACACTTTTGTTTACTACTTGTTTACTGATGTATTTCTAATGCTGTGTCATTCTTAGCACATTATAAACACTCAGTGAATATTGTTCAGGTGATAAATGTGTTGATGGTATCATAATTTATCATCTGAAAGCAAGCACTGGGTTTATGTCACTTACTAAGTAATCTGTCTTGGGCAGATCATCTACTCTCTCCAGGTGTTTCCAGTTTTCTCACCTGTAAAACTCAGTAGAACTCGTGAGTTTTACTCACGAGTTTTATTTCACTCACAATGAATAATGTGAGGATGGGAAATAAGAGATGAAGAAGCATGAAATAAGGTGCACAAGATGAAAAGAAAGCACCTGTCTTTATACGTTATTTGGCTGAAGATAAAGGGGATCCTTGCTATGGGTTGAATGTCCCCTCCAAAATTCATGATGAAATGTATTTGCCACATTTATTTGCAACAGTACTGGGAGGTGAACCTTGTACCAGATGATTAGGCCATGGATGGATTAGTGCCGTTATCCTACTAGTGGCTTTGGGGTAAAAGTGAGTTCTCTGTGACCCCTATAAGCTGGTTTGCTCTTCCATCATGACACAACATAGCCTCAAGGCCCTTGACAGATGTCACTATGCTTTTGGATGTCCCAGGCTCAAGAACCACAAGTGAAATAAACTTCTATTGTTTATAACGTGCCTAGATCATATGGTTTGAAACTCATGTGTCCCCAGACCTATATGCCTTAAAGGATTGATCCCCAGAGAGATGTTATTGAGAAGTAGTGAAACTTTCAAGAGGGGCTTATTGAGAGATATTCAGGTTATTGAGGGGATGCTCTAAGAGGACTGTGGATCCCTAACACCCTCTTCCTCTTTCTCTCTTTTGGATTCTGGCTAGGAGGTGAGCTGCCTTGCCACAGGCCCTACTCCTACTGATAACGGACAAGAACAGTGAGCCCAAACAAATCTTTTCTCTTTATAAATTGATTATCTCAGGTATTTGTTATAGTAATAGAAATCTAACAAACTCAGACTCTGATATTGCATTACTGCAGCAGAAAGCAGGCTAAGGCAACCATCTAATATGCTCTCCTGAAACCATAATTTATTGATTGACAAAATCATGCTAGAGACTATGGAAGGAAATGAATCAGTTTCAGAACAGTCGATTCACGGAGCTGGATTTAGACGTGAACCAGAATGCTCAGGCTTAGTGGTACTGCTTTCTAATTCAAGTCAGTGTACTGCTGTGTGCTGTGACCAATGGCAGGGTTGGAAGGGGTGACTCAAAATGACCTTAGTTTTTATCTAATCCAGTCTTGTGACCAGACTACAGGCAACACCTCGTCTGGGGTAATAATTTCCTTTGCAGCTCTCTGCTAAGAGACCCAAAGGCATGGTAGACTAGTGCAGCCATGAGGCATTCAGTGTGGTCTGGCATGGAAAGATCTTTAGCACATATTGTAGAGTGAACAATTCAGGTTGTAGATAAAATGTACAGTACCAACACACGGCAGCGATACTTCACTGTACTCATATACAGGGTTCTACCTACATGCACATAAGCACAGAGAAAAAGTTCGCAGGGATGGAAAACATCAGTTATACTGCAGTGGAGAGTAACTGAAACTGAAAGTGAGCACTAACGGGCACTTGACTTTTACCTATAATCTTTGATTACAAAGAAATTGTGTCACTTATGTAATTAAAATTAACTTTAAAACCACCTGAGCAAGATGATTCTAGAACATATCGCACTTAAGACATAATGGGGAAATTTACTTCCTCTGGCTAGTGGTTCCTCAAGATTGTCATCTACTGTTAAGTGGCTGTTTAGAAATGGCAGGGGGCACTTTTTAGTTGGCACAAAGATTCTGGGGATATTGTCACTTGATCCACAGGAATGGAGGATCTCCTGTCATGAGCAAAAGTGCTACACCACACTGCAGTGCCCAGCCCAAAGGCCTATAGTGGCCTTCGTGAGAAACTGCACACAAACTCACAGTGCCTAAAAATTAATCTTTTTCTTTTCATCGATACCAGGGATCAAACTCACAACTGCCTGCTTGCAAGGCAGGTGCTTATGCCGCTGAGCTAAATCCCCAGCCCTTACAAATTAACCTTTGACCCACAAGTCAGAATTGTTTTTTTGTCTTTGGTTTGAACTATTGAAGTACCCAACTCATGTTCTACATGAACACAGAACGTGCTAAATGATATCATTTATGGACAGAAGAAACATACTGAGAGCTAGACCAGTTGGTCTTGAGGGAAGTTACTGGGTTTCAAGAGGGTTATTGGCTTGGGTTGATGTCTCCTGTGAGGCATATGTGGACATTTCTGAGGGCCTTTACACTCCACTGAGATTTCAGACAAATGTGCCATTGGCCAGCTGTCACACAAGACAGAGAGGCTTCATGGAAAGGGAGGAGGGTCCCTTCTGCCACGGACAGTGAGTGTCACACAGGAGTCTCCTACAGGCTACCGTCTCTTAGGAAGCAGCTCCCAGGAGTTATGAGACAATATAAGGTGATAAGATTGAAAGAGATCAACGGGATCAACATATGACAGAACACTACCAACAGCAGATTTTCCTCTGGGGAGGTGACCAGAGAAGGCGAGCTGGGCCCTTGGAGGAGAAGGGCAGTTGTGCTTCTGGTAGCAATGGTTCCAGCTGTGAGAGTCAGACACTTGTCAGTCTCACCTTGCCCTGCCTCCAGCATCGTGCTAACAAAAGAGCAGATGTGGCCCAGATCTCAGGGAATATCATGCTCCTGCACAGGGAGGAATTATCCTTGGTAAGTCTCATACTTCATATTTTGTTTATCTTACTCAGCCTTTCAGCTGTGTCTCAGGCCAGGATTTTACGTGCATTCAGGGAAGCTGATTTCATTTGTTTCTGATATGTAAGACTAGAGTCTACTGGTAGATGACTGGCATGGGGTTTCAAGCATTATTGTTGCTTAAAAATTCTTGTAGGGCAATTACTCTATATCTGGCATAGGTCTAAGCATTACAGATATTATATCTTTTAATGCTCACAACAATCCATATAATGCAGTTGAAGACTACTTTATCTGTAGTTTGTGCAGTGGGATCCTGAGGTTGATTCTCTAATCAAGGCCCCCAGAGAAGCACCTGTCTAGTGCCCTGCACCTTGGCCCCACATTGGACTGGAGGACACAATGGTGGCTGTGGTAGTGGCAGAAATGCAGATTTATGCTTTCTCAGAGCGACTGATTCAGAACCTGACCTCTCCAAGGGATTTCTCCTGGACAGTCATATTCAAGTACCAAGGATTTCAAGTAGTTTTTCATTTTTGGAGAGATGATCTGAATGATTAGCTTTCCCTATCTACCTCATTTTGCAAAATCAAGTGGTGATTTATTTTTATGCACCATTTTCCCTCCTCATTTATAGTTCACTTCTCAAGTAGAGGAACCAAAGACAGCAGGGTTAGGATTAGCCAGTTACCTATGTATCATTCAAGCAGGAGGCAGTGTAAGCAGGGTTGGAATCAATGGTAATTGGGAAGCAGCTGAGGGCCTAGGAAACCCAAGACATTCTGTCACCTGAAAGAGTACATTATCCCCTTGTGGGGTATTTTAGTACCCCAAGGGAGGTGGACAGATAACTACAGTGTTCTTTATGGTGGCATCTGTCTCATCCTATGTATGCCTAACTGACTACAGTTTAATCGTTTATCATTAGCAGAAAGAAAAGGAAGGAAAGAAGGAAAGAAGGAAGGAAGGTGGGAGGGAAAGAGGGAAGGAGAGAAGGAAGAAAGAAATGGATTACTGTCCAGGGCATCCTCCTGCATTCCCACAAAGAGGTGCCTGAGAGGGCGCCTCTCTTCCTCTGGGGCACTCGGTTGCCATGGAACTCTTTAGCATGTGATTCCTCCTAGTTGAGAAACGACCTAATGTTTAAAGATTTATCTTAAATCATGGTTCTGAATATGAACTGACCACATTGCCCGATTTTCAGCCAAAAAACACAGTCTGTTCTGGTGCTGGGAAAAGTGGCTGTGAGAGACTGACTGACTGAGAGGTGCATCCCGTGGGTAATTTAAAGCATTTCTGGAAGACACTTAGATTTTATGCATCTCATCATACGTGCTGACTGCTCGTTGTGTAAAATATAACTGTATTGTGTACGAGGCCTCATATGTTCTGGCTTCTTCTGTTGTTAAAGCTGAGGAGCTGGCCAACCAGACTCTTAGTAGTCAGTGCCACAAAGGCCGCAGCATGGTGGGGGAGAAACTGCACTGTCACTCTAGAAAGAAGCAGGAACTTTACACATGTTGGTGGAACCTGACTGTGACATATCCACTGCAGCATCACTGTGCTTCCAGATGTGTGAACAAACCCTGCACCCTGAGTCAGGCTGCAGGGTAGGAGGTCTCGGTGACTTTGGGTACCTTTCCCTCCCCACACTGCCCTGGTCTTGGGGCTCCAGCCCTGTTGGTGCTCCTGACCCCATGATGCCTCCTCTGTCTTAATGAGTGGGTAAGGAGTAGACAAAGCAGCAGACAAAGCAGCAGGGGCCAAACTCAGTCAACTACAGGGTTTCCCACACACAAATGTAATCTGTAATTAGATGACAGCAGGCTCTGGAGCCAGGGGGTCCTGTTGACTCTATGCTGGTAGCCACCTCAGACACAGAGACAGATTCCAAGCAGTGACAGGTGAAGAGAAGCAGGAATCAGGTAGCCTGAGCCAGAAGCTCTCATGGGAATGACTTCCCTGGTGAGATTTCCTGGGCCTGGCAGCACCTATCTTGCTGTGCTGGGCCCTCTTGGTTTATGCCTACACACTGACTCTATCCCCTTTAATGGAGCTAGCCAGTATGATTCTGTGTTTTTCAACCAAACAAAGCTTTATTGGAGCAAATGGTGTGAGACCTGAGCTTTCCCCTATGCTTGAAGTCCTTGGAGGTCTGCTAAGCCTGGTACGAAGGAGATAGGACTCTGTTTTAAAATTTACTGCCAACCTTCAATCACTTGGGGCCTTACATGCAAACACCTAAAATTTAGATGGTATGGGCAGGATCATTGTCTAGGAAATTCCTTTCCTTGATGCTATGTAAAATGCTTTCTTTGGCCCCATTATTTCCTTTTCTGATGGTTTCTATGTGCTACAGGTCCAGTTGCTAATGACAGGAAAAAATTTCTTGTACTGTTGTTCATATTAGACAAGGCAATAATAATATTAGTATCCAATAGTTTTCAAATTTTTAGCACACAATTTAAAAAAATTAAATTGGTAATTCTTAAAATCTCACCATGGAAAAGACATAAGATACATTAATCTCTCAGTTTTTTCCCATCCCCACCCAAGCACCTGCAAGGCCCTCTCTAGAAGTCTAGAGTTCTAGGAACAAGGATTTAAGGCACTGCTCAGGGCGGCAAATCTGTCATCCTTATCGAGAGTAAATAGCACAGAGCACCTGTAGTATATTATAGTCTGTCCCAAGCTCTGGAAATATGGCAAAGGGTAAAATACACCCCCAATATAAGAGAGTGGCAGCCAGATAAGATGTGAACAACCATCAGCCTGAGCACAAGCCAAGTGAAAAGGGGCCTAAGTACAAAGAGGGCTCTGGGCTCTAGGATGGGAGGAGTGGCAGAGGTAGAGTAGTTGGGGAGGGTGGCACAGAGGAGATGGGACTTGAGCAGGCTTTCAATGGGTTTATGCAAGAGGAAGAAGTGAAATCTGCAAAGAGAGGAGGACTGCCCCACAACAGAGAAGAAAAAAGCAGGGTGCAGATGTCCACAGTGTACTCAGGGTCTGGTGAGCTGGGAGTCAGGTATAGTAGCAAGGCATTCCAAAGGGGAGATGGGAAGGAGCTGGGATCTGAATGACAGGCGAGGAAAGTCTAACGTGTTTCAGAGACAGTTGAGAACCCTGCATGAGTCAGCGTAGGGGGGAAATCTCATTATGAGGGAAAAGAAAAGCAAGATAAGAGCAAAATTGAGATGCCAAACTGCTCAGATGCAGTGTCTGACACGGACTTGCGGGAAACCTTGGTGACACATGGCGCTGAGGCTGACCCTCTCCCTGGTAGGGTCATATGCCTTCCTGACTGCTGAAGGCAGGCGCCATCATCTTCCATTTACCCGTCAGGCTTCAAGAAGAATGTGACTCATCTGAAGTCACCCAGCAGAGGACTGCCAGGACCCTGACTCATGGCCTTCCGAGAAGAGCCTGCTCCAAGCAGGAGCAGGGATGCAAGATCCCCAGACACTCTGGTGACAGCAGCTTCCCGGCCAGCTCAGGGCCCTGGCCCTTTCTCCTTCTGTCCACATCTGTGGGAGGGAAATCTGGGACATATCCCACTGCCTCCCCTGTGCAGCTGTGGCTACAGCCAACTGTGACAGACACACTTGCAACCCAGGGATGTTAAAGAATGGCTTTATGTTCAAACCTCTCCTGAAGCCATCAAAACTAACAAGTATGTGAACCTGTACAAATATAGTCACTCTGGAAGCCAGCGTGAGACTCAGTGCTTAACCTCACTGACAGGCAGGGGCTGTATTCAGCCTTCCCTGGAAGGAGCCATGCTGCCAACTTCTGGGGGAAGGGGTATAGGACATTTATTCCTGATGGTGATGGCTTTGGGCTAACTATCCGTCATTTCTGCTCTTTCTTTCTGTGTCCTTCTTACATAACCAACAGCCTGACTTTGTCCAGTCGTTACCAGAAATGAAGAAGATTCTCCATTTGCAAGCCTAAACAAGGTCTTCTCCTGGTCACATGGGACTCTCACCTGGTGATGTAAGCCATCTGGCTTCACAAGGAACACATTCATCTCTGTTACCATTACTTGGATGTACTCACCAACACAAAAGCAAATGACCCATCAGATTTGAGGTTATGCACATATATATGATGGAGCTGGAGTGGCAGCTGTTTCTTATGGGTGAAAGTTAAAAAAGATGCTGCCCCTGAGAAGGACTGCTATAAAGACAGTGTTCCACATATGTTTATCCTCCTGTCTCTGTCTCTCTGTCTCTGTCTCTGTCTCTCTGTCTCTGTCTCTGTCTCTCTCTCCTACCTCCCTTTCCCCCTCTTTTCTCTTCAGCACTTTGGAAGGCTGAAGCAGGGGGATTACAAGTTCAAACCCAGCCCAGGCAATTAAGGGAAATTCTGTCTCACAAGGGCAGGATGAGCTGGGGATGCAACTCATCTTGCCTTTTAACAGGAAGAAAACCTCCATCCAGCTCTATTTGCTATCCTCAGACCCTCTTAAGAACATGCAGACCTGTCGACCATGGCATCTTGACTCTAAAAAGAACTTGCATGAGATTTAACATTTCTAAGTGTACCTAAGTATACACATCTCAGGACACTACAACACAAGATTGGACAATGCTGTGTTGCATTTCCTTCAGGCAGGGAGGTCCCCTTTAAAACAAGCCTGAAAGGTGCCTTGTCTAGTGCCTGCCTGGCAAAGCCCTCCTGCCTTATCCATTTGCTGGCTGCTATGTGAAGGGTGCCCTAATCACCAAGCCAGGAAAAGAGACCCCCCCACCCCCACCTCTACCCAGGAGGGAGGAAATAGAAAAGAAGTATTCAGAAACAGTATTGATGCAAGGTTCTTTTCATTGTATAATGTGGATCAATAAAATCTGCAAATAGCATTTGTTCCTATAAACCAGGTCTCTCGTTATAAAAAGGCAACAGGAGAGCCGCATTGCTGTACAGAGGAGTTAGGCACAGAATTTCATACAGAGATTGTGGAAAAGAGGATTGTTCTTTCAAGACAGACAAATTCCAACAAGAATAACTGTCATGGGTTAGGCAACAGCGCTTTTACCTTAGAACAATATGTTTTTATGATTTAGTAAAAAATAATTCCACCCTAATAAGAATCTGCTCCTGCTTCAGGTCCCTCCAGAGGCTGCGCCACCACTCACAATCAGCCCTGCCTCTCTGCTGGGTGGGGAGGAGCAGGGGGAACACACATATCTTATTTTTCTCTCTCCTTTCCTCCTTATTGTCTGGACTTTGAAGTCCGATGTCATGTAAACATTAACTTGCTTCTTAAATAAAGCCCCCGAGAGCAAACTGTAACCTGAACATGTGATTTGCCCACCACTTTCGCATGTGCTCTAAGGCTTCTCATTTCTGTGTCACTGTGTGTCTGTCTCATAGAATTAGTCGGGAAATACTCATTTTTCTTATTTAAGTGTTTTCCAAAGAATGCCTTTTAAAGATGGTTTTAGGTGCTGCTACTCACCAGGTTCTTTTGAATGTTTAAATCTAGCGGTTTTTGATTTAAAGCAAAAAGCAGGTTACACAGCAGTACAAGTGGTAAAATACAGGGTAGAACTTATCACTGGCTGCAGTTGGGACCCAAGGAAGGCTGGCACACGTGTCCATCAGGTGACACTAATTACATATGTGAAACCCTAGTCATCTAACTTTAGGAACCACTTGCAGCAGCTGAGATTATGCGCTTACACATTTTGTTAGTCCCAGGCCACTGTCTACGCACATCACCAGCAGCTGTTGGTTGACTGGTTTTAAATAGTTGGACTGATCACAATAGGCTAGCTAAGTTGCCTGGCAAACACTTCAGCTTACCAGACCACACGCTACATTAACACAATCTTTGCATAGCTGAAGACAAAGGGAAGGTCTCCTGAATTTGCTTTGAAGATTTTTAAGATTTTTCCCCTTGGCTACATTTTATTTTCCCGCATACTATGGGTGCAAACATACAGCGAATTTTCCTAATATGTACAGCTTGAATGTATGTTGCTATTTGGGTTGTTGAAGAAAATGTCCCTTAGTCTTAGGATTTTTTTTTTTTTTTTTTTTTTTTGTCTTTTTGAGATAGGGTCTCACTATGCAGTTCAGGCTGACCTTGGGTTCACTTTGTAGCCCAAGTTGGTCTTGAACTTGCAACAATCTGCGGACCTCAGCCTCCTGAGTGCTGAAATTACAGGAGTGCACCACCATGCCTGGCCTAGTCTTAAGAATTTAACTACATAAAAATGATGTCTTAATCAAGCCCCAGCTGTATCTATTGTGCTGTGTGTTCTTCTGAGATGTACATGTTGTTCAGAAGTGGCTTGCTGGACCTGAGTTGTGCAGCTCTATGATCACAAATAAATGAAAACTGATCCTGAAAAAAATACTAGTTCTTTAATCATTTTCTCCTGCACTGAGATGTTTTTCTTCTACACGTGATTAAATATTTGTGAACGTTTGCTGAATTACTCCGTGGTTAATCTTTCTCAACAGCAGGAAGCTTAGATATTTGTAAATTTCCTCTAAGCACCATTTCTGATTAGTTGACCTTTTCTAAATATCAAACAGGCCAGTTGCAGTCAATTCTATAACCTCCACAATCAACTTGCATTTATCCATAAAACGTATTTGTTGACTGAAAGTAAAATTCTTGATTGTTTTAATTTGCTTTTGAGAATTGTCATAAATACAGAATAAATGGATATAAAGCTTAACAAAGTTCTGAATATATATATTTTGGTACTGGCAATCGAACTCAGAGCCTCATGCTTGCCAGGCAGGAGCTGTGCCACTGAGCTAAATCCCTGGCCCCTTGCATTTATCTTGAAATATGATCACCACTGTTTATATGTCAACTATTATTTTTTCCTTGTAAATACACTCCTCATTTTGCAAAGCGACTTAAATTGCTTCATTGATTTTAAACATCAGTGATAACACATTAACTTTGAAAACACGACCATTTCATCACATTTGTGAATAACACAGTAACATTCTTCCCATTCACACTCATTCTCCTATCATTTTGTCTGTCTGTCTCCCTTCTTCCCTCCTTTCTTTCCTTCCTTCATCAAACATTTACTGAGCATTAACATGTCAGGCACTGTGCTAAATGGTGGGAAATCAATGACAGGTAAACTCTTCCTCTCCATGAAACTTAGTCTGTTGATTTAAAATCTTTTTGTCTTGTCTGTTCCAAAGGATATTGGGAGAAAATGCATTGAAGGAATTCAAGGACAGGAAAGCTAACACAAACAGTTCTACTGAGTTGAAGGAAAAGTTTATCACCAACCTTTAGCAGTTGCAGAGTAATCTTCTTTTGGGGCTCTGGCTATATCTTCTTTTCTCCAAAAACTGGCTTTGGGACGGGAATTCTTCTTCTAGCATAAATAACCTTGGATGGAAGTGTCTGGACAGAAACAAGTTGGATAAGACTCAGGGCAGCAGGAGAAACTTCCTAGAAAACTCAAGTGCCCACACTCAACTGGTGTGGCTGCCTGAGGCCCCAGCTTGAGAGCTCCTGTAGAAAACCACAAATGCACAGGAAATTGGGGAAAATCAGATAAAGGCAAACCATTAAATGACATCTACAGAAGGGAAACAGTTAAGAATTAACCCATATTAATTTAAGGCTACAGGAGTGAGTGGTGCAACGGTTTAGTTAATGAGAAGCTAACTTCCAAAGCCAAGCAGGCCATTTGAGGCTATGACTAATGGCTTTCAGGGCCATCGAGGAGCAGGTGGCTGGACAAAGAGATCTATCACAAAAAGAAGGGCAAACCACTGTGGGAACTAGGAATGTGTGCTATAATACTGTTATGGATTTGTTTGTGTCTCCATCTATCCATGCATACATCTAGTCATATATATATATATATATATATTTATTTATTTATTTCCTGGTCTGTTCATCAAAAGCTTGTTGGGTACCACTGTTCTTCATGATAGCATTGAAAATGCAGCAGTGAGCTGCCTTCATGGAGCTTAGCATGTCAAACAATCAACTGGAATGATGATAAGGATTCTAAAAAAAAAAAAACAAAAAACAAGAGCAATGTTTAAATTTGGGTCCGATGGATTTGGATTTTTGTTTCTTTGGAATACTGGGGCCCAGTGAATCTTCCAAAGGAGCTTACTTTATTTACCCTCTATCTAGTCTATAAGACACTGTAAGCATCCACATTTTAGGCTCAGGTTCATCTAAGATCTTCAGTCCTGGCCCAAACAAACAGTATGAGGCCCTTGGCTATGTGCACTTGCCTAGCAAACAACTTTTTGAGTTCTTTATTTCCTTGTTGGTTTTTGACCTATAAAAACTGAGTTCACGCTGCTGGATTTCCTTGAGCCCATTGTTCAATCTCTGTGACCCCATTCAAAATCCCTAAGTGAGCACAGAGAAATGGATGGCATTTATAAGGCTGTGGTAGTCCATTTAGAGTGCCTGGAGCATACAGTTCATTGACAGAGGTGAACAAACCCAAACATGAGAGTGGTTAAACATCTGAGGCCCAGGTCAGGAGGGCCGGCTGACAGACATCATAATCTGTAGGAAACATGTTGCTTCAAGTAGACTCTGCAAAGATGATTCATATTGATTAATTATTTGGGGATAATTTAGTGGTGAGAGTAAGGGGTCTCTTTGTAAATGAATTCAGGAAAAGGGCCATTCGTTAAGACAAAAGAGCAGGGTTTAGGATGAATAACCATTCAATGAAGGGTGATTTTCTTTGAAGAATCTAAAAGAGCTGAGTAGAAAGACATTACACACAGACCGGCAGATGACTGTTCTGGTCCATTTGGAACAATTGTCTCATGGAAAATACACATGGTATCATAATTTCATTCATTTATTTTTCTGTTTTTTGTTTATTTTGAGTACATATGGTGGTCTAGATACTACTGAAGATACATTAACAGGTAAAATATAATCTCTTTCCTCTTGGAATCCATGGTCTAATGAGAAATGCAGGCTTATAAACAACTAATTGAAAAAGTCAAATTCAGTATCTCTGACATGAGGGCCATCAGAGCAAGATAAATCCAGTGCTTCTCAGGAAAGTAAGAAAAAGCACATCTCAGAAAGTGTCTCCTCGCTGAATTCTACAGAGTAAGAGTCCTTCCAAAGTGGAGTTTGTCTCTACTTATTTCTTAATAGAAAAATATGCTAGGGGTAGTCTACCATGAATATATTGGCCTTCTGGGAAAATACAACTCTCATTGTTAGCCAGTGAAATCCAGTTAAATTTGAATTAGTATGGGAATCATTTCCTGGGGCTTGACCTGGAAGAGTTTTGAATCCACAAAGCCAAGGACTAAATCCTCCAGCTGAATTAGAAGACACGGTGCTGGGCATGGTAGCACATACCTGTAATCCCAGTTCTCTGGGAGGGTGAAGCAGGAAGATTGCAAATTCGAGCCCAACCTGGGAAACTAAATATTTTTAGGAAAATTCTGTCTCAAAGAATAAAAAAGGCCTGGGGATATAGATCAACACAAAGGCCAATGGTTCAATCTTCAGTGCAAAACAAAAAACAAAAAACAAAAACAGAAAACTGGGAGACCCAATCTGAGTCATAGTCATATACTTCAATTTTTCCAAAATTACCGTTGGCAACTAGTTTAATACAGAACTTTCAGGGTAGTGTAAGACCATGGTCTTATTTGAACAAAGTAAAAACCGGCATGAGAGTACAGGGGAACACTTTTCTGTTTTGAAAGGAGGCCCTTCAAAGTAGTTCCCATTGACAGTTAACTGGAGGGTTTAAATTTGTATTTTCCTCGGGCACTAAGCCTTCAACCTGCAGCCCCTGCATGAGTTTGCTGGAACTGTCCTAAGAAAACCGTACGCTGGGTGACTTTCACAACAAAAATTTATTTTCTCACATTTCTGGAGCCTAGAAGTCCAAGATGAAGGTGTTGGTTTCTTCTGAGGCTTTTTTGGGGGGCTTAAGGATGGCTACCTTCTTGCTCCTTCATATGGTCTTTTTTCCCCGTGCATCCTCAGCCTTAGCGGATCTCTCATGTGCCAAATTTCCCCTTCTAATAAGGAGCCAGTGATATTTAGCATCTATAAGGATGCCCCCATTTTAAATTAATCATTGTTTTGAAGGCCCAACTTTCCAAATGCAGTAATGTTCTGAAATATTGAGTTGGACTTCAACATATGAATCTTGGAGAGATACAACTCAGCCCCCGCAGATTCTTGCAGTCTGGTTGCTCTGTGCTTCACTGTGTGGGAAACTATGAACCACAGAGAAAGCCAGTGACCATATGGTATCTGTTTCCTAAATGAAGAAGGTCCACTTGAAGTCAAGAGCAAAGTGGAAGAGGCTTCGAACATGGCCCCCATTGTGTATGCCTGCACTCTACTGCAGAGATGGCCTCCTTTCATGCTTTTCTAGAATTTGGGAAGACTCCCTAAGTTTCCAGAGGGAAAGAAGTTCCTACTAAAGACAGTGTAACTACTGATTTGGACCTTAGGATCACACAGGAAAAGTACCAATCACTAGGAAATGAGATTTCAGACTAACGAGTCCTTAAAGGTCTCAGGCTGCTTTTCAGAAGCAAATTACTATGTAATAACAGGCTAAGACATGAGGAAGTCCAAGAACCCTCTCTGCAAGGCCTGGTACTTTGAAAATGACTGTTTCCTGTTAGCTAACAAACCTCATTCTTTTCTACCGTCCTTGCTCAATTTTAATAGGTCTTGTTTGCCGGGGGCCTTAGGTCAATTCCCTTTTATATTTGTAATCTCTGCCAGTCCCATCCCTTGCCTTCCCCTCCCTCGCATCAACCTTTTTCAGTTGTTTGTAATCCATTTCATTTGTTTTTATTTCTCCCAATTCCTCCAAGTGATTCTTTGCTTCTCTCCTCACCCTCAACCAATCCCAGTCCTTCCAAGTCTCTGGGCTTCACGTATCCTCTCTTTACACACCACTTCTTCAGGATCTCCGGTTTCCCAGTACCTTATCCCTCTTCCCCAGCTCCCCGACCATCTCACAGGGGATACACACTTCTTAATGTTGATAAATACGGCCGTATTTCCAACCACAAACACTATGCTAATTTATCTCTATACCAACTCTGAATTCATGGACGGGATGATCTCAGATACACCTTAACCAGCCTTATTACTTTCATTATCTGATAATATGCTTTGTGAAAATAAATATCTTATTGGCTATTGCTAATATTGAAAATCTTTTCATATTCTTATGGTCAATTATATTCCTGATTTTGTGACTTCCGTTTATATCCTTTGTCTAGGTTTTGATTTAGATATTGATTAGCCTTTTTTCTTGTAAAAATCTTACGACTATTTTCTCCCAACAGACTATTCGTTAAAATGTTGTCATGTAGACATAGGGTATATTGAGCAACTAAAATTTTGCAGAAATCTTAAAAAACCATGAAGACAATTCCATTCAGTACGAAAGGTTGTAAATTTTGTATATGAGAAACAAAAATGGTAGATCGACTAATTAGTAAGAAATGGGCCTGCTTCTTTTACCACTGTATCTGTGTGAAATATCTCATGGTTTGACTACATTGTCTAGTTTTATTTCAGCTTTACCTCATATTTATATTTTCCTTTTTAATCATACAGATAATGGTTTTTGTTTTGTTTGCTGTGTGTAATTAGGAAATGATCGCAGGGCCTTCACACTGCAGTGTATCCCCCAGCCTTTTTTCTTTGTTTTTTGAGATAAGATCTGGCTAAGTAGCCAAATTGCCTAGGCTGAGTTTGAAATTACAATCTCCTGCCCTTCTGCCTGCCACGATTTTGGGATCACAGGTGTGATCTGCACACCCTGCTCTGCAATGTTTTATTGTGGAAAATTTGCAGACAGTTGTAGATTGCCTGCTCAATAGTCATTCCCCTTCTTCCTTGTTTGTCAAGCCCAGATTTTGTTCATATATATACTTAAGCTTGTTAATTGGATTCCTTAATTCCTTAACATTACTACTTTATTAATATTCAGAAAATTACACGATCAGAAAGTGAAAGAAAAACCAGCTAACACTGTTTTCATTGCCCCAGGCTCTTCACACTGCGGACAGTCTCCTCAGTCAACCATGGTGCAGTCGGGTTGCATCAGCACTGGTTGTGCAGTGTCATTTAGGAGGCACTAAGCCATGTTCCTACAAAAGGGTCTAAAGGGAATTCGGAGTGTAGCTGCTTGCAGGATGTCACTAGACATCAGTACTTATGAGGCTTTAGGTGAAAGAATCTGGCAGGTGAAGTGATGCATGGCAGATGCTGACATCCTGCCTGACCCTAGGGGAGAGGAAGAGAGGGACTAAATCAGATGCAGAGTTGCATGTGTGTATGTGCATGTGTGTGTGCATGCGTGCACATGTGGCTTTGTCTAATTTGAGCTAGGAACATTCTGATGCAGTGAAATTATGTGTGTGTGACTAGAGCTGGAGCCTCTGAGGTTACATGTTAAATGTCCCAAATATAGTATGCAGCAGAGACAGATTCAGAGAACCATAACATGCACACATGATTTGTTAAAGCCAAATAATGCATACTCAAGCCCAGTGTGCCGATGGACAAGGTTTTCGTTGTTGCTGTTTTTTGTTTTCTTGCAAATTTCTTTTAACTGTTTGGCATAATTCGATATAACTGGATTGTTATGTTCTTCATTCCAATCTGGTTTGATATATTTAAAGGTATATGGAGAACACTGGTCTCACAAACGTATTGTTTTCAACAGCAGTATTTTAACAAACTTTTCATGTAATTGTGGGTATTTTTCTTTGATATTACATTGAAATTCAACAAATGGTTGCTTCTTAAAGATCAGTAGCAATGTAGAATCAAGAACTACACCAGTGACATTTTTGTATTCTACTACATTAAGAAATCTACTGAACTATCTTGCAATTGAAATAGTTTTTATGTATGTATCTTTTTTTAAATTTGCAAATGAATGGGTAAGTGTCATGTTTTTAAAAGATGTCCAGATAGTCTTTGATATTTCTTCCTTTAGGAAGTGGAGCTTAGGGGCTGGAGATTTAGCTCAGAGGCATAAGCACCTGCCTTGCAAGTGTGCGGTCGTGAGTTCGATCCCTGGTACCGATAAAAAAGAAAAAAAGACAAAAAAAAAAAAAAAAAAAAAAAAAAGAAGAAGTAGAGTTTAGGGCTGGAGATTAAGTTTAGCAGCATAACTGCCTGCTTCGCCTAATTCCCCTCTCCTTGACTGTGGGCTGTACAGAGTAACTTGTTTCTAAAAAACAGAAATGTGAGGAATGACAGACACCTGGGGGTTGATCATAACAGACACTGAGGAGTCTATCTTGCTCCTTTCTTAGATCACATACTTTGAAGGAAACTAGCCTTCATACTATGAAGACACTTAAAGCCCTGTAGAAAGGTCCATATGGCAAGAAATGGAAGCCTTCTGTTAAAAGGCAACAAGCAAAGGAGGCTGTCTTAGTTACTATTCTCTCATTGTGGAGATGAAATATCTAACACCCAAAATATCCAACATCCAAAGTTAAAAGGGGAAAGGTTTATTTACCTTCAATTTGTAGAGGTTTCAGTAAATAATCACCTGGGTCCAAGGCAGAAGGGCCTCAGTTCATGGCAGTGGAAGACAACAAAAACCAAGTGAGAGCACGAAGGAGGAAACAAGTTTCTTTTTGCTCCTTTTATCTTATCCAGTCTACTCAGATTAGAGTGGTGCCAATCCAATCAGTGGACTGATCCAAAATCACTCACCCTTAATCCTGGCATTGCACCACAAATCAGTCACAAACTAGGTTCAGTTGGCTCCAAAAAAACTCCATCTAAAAAGTGTATGAGGCTTTGGAGGGACATCTGGGCACAAACCATAACAGAGGCCTCCTGCCAACAGCCCTGTAAGTCAGCCATCTTGGGGGCAGATTTTCTAGTGCCGGTGAAGCTGTCACAGAACCGCAATCTAGTAAACATCTTGACTGTATCTGCCTGAGAAACTTACTCAGCACCACTTACATAAATACTCTCAAATTCTTGAAGCACAGACACTGTCAGATCATAAATGTTTGTTGTTTTAAATCACTATGTCTGGGGCTAATTTCTTATGCAACAAAGGATATTTAATATACTGAACTATGCAGATCTTCTAAATCTTGGCACATTTTATTATTAATATTTTAAAAATCACAGCCTACAAAACTCATTAGAAAAAAGTTTAAGTATTGGAAATCTGCCGAGCACAGGGTGGAAGATACATCTTTTTAAATTTTAGCTTTTTCTCAAAAACACAAATGTTCTTATTGGCATTAAAGACGTTCAGTTGTTTCCCTTTAAGTGATGAACTTATTTTATTTTCCACCAATACCCGCATCCAAGGAAATACACTGTTTGCTGTTCAAGCAAAAGAAGTGTTTTCTAGAAAACCGTCTAGTTCAGCTAGCCACTCTGAACAACCACGTAATTGCTTTTCCTCAAGACACAGAATGCTATGTGGAGCATTTGCTTTGGGAATACTTCCCATTTTGTCACACACAATATTAAACACCGTGTACTCTGGGGCTGGGGATTTAGCTCAGCGGCATATGCTCCTGCCTTGCAAGCAGGGAGTCGTGAGTTCGATCCCCGGTACCGATAAAAAGGAAAAAGACAAAAAACAAACAAACAAACAAAAAACACCATGTACTCAAGGCTCAAAAATACAGAAAAATGAATACTCCTTAGAGCTTCATTAAGAATATTAAGTGAAATTGGCTTCTCTACCCCTACTCTACCCCTTCTCTACTGCCATACACCAGTGAAAAAATACAGTAACTGCAAGCATAGTTTACTGCCACTGCCCAGATTCATTTGTACCAACAGTTTCAGTTATGCCTACAATTTTAAATGCAAACGTCAATATAGTATAAAATGCAAAAAAAAAAAAAAATTAGTATTATAGTGAAAATAGTTTTGACCTTGTAGATACACAAAGAGGGTCTCAGGCACTGCAGAAGTCCACCTAGGGACCCAGGAATAGAGCAACACAGGGAAAGTGCCAGGTACCTTTGTGAAATCTCAAAGAATACATTACCAGTGGTTTTAACACCCTACGGAATGTTAGGGGAGTGTGCAATTTATTTAAAATGTTTACAACGAAACTAAATTGCTATGGATTGCATAAACAAATACAGTTCTGAAAAATGTGATCTTTATCTTCTTGCTTTGTGACACATACACAGCCCTTCCTTTGCAGATAGTGAGTGAAAACAGGTCTCTTTCCCTCTCACTCCTTACCCCTGTACCTCAACTCTTCCTTTGGGCCCAGTAACTTTCAGGCCCTCACGTGTCCTGAAGCTTCTCCTTTGTACTTTCCACTTTTCTTTTTCTCCAAAAGCTTCACGCTGCCACCAACTGTTTTTATTTTTATTTTGGCCAGGTTCTCTGGGTGCCTTTGGGGAAAGCTGGCAATAGATCCTGAGGCTTAGATAGGCTGGAGTCTAAGGGATGTGACTGGGAGTAGGTCTGAGGAAGGAGTCTTCGGCCCTCCCAAATTCCACGATATGAACTGGATCAGCAGGGACCACGAGGAAGTTATCTTCTTGGGAATAAAGGCAGCAGGCCAAGATCTACAGATGTTCACCCTCCCAGCCACTGTTCACACCTGTCCTCCAATACCTGCATTCTCGTCTGCTGCGGTCAGCGCCAGAAGTAGCAAAAGAGCTGTGGGATCCACGGGTGGGATCCAGTGGCTTACACTGTGGGGACAAGGTCGTCTCTTTTTCAAGAAAACAGCCAGAGCAAGGCTGGAAAAAAGGCAGCTACTGGCCTTTACCGCATAAAGATGCCCGAGGGTGAGTGGGGCGAATACACCCAACACCAACAACGCCGCAGCGGGAAGAAACGCTAGGCTGAGACAGGCCTCGACGCCCACGCGGCAGAGAACCGCGACTCAGGACAGCGAAGATCCTGAAGGGTTGCATCAGACACCTTGCAGACACTCCATTTCTCTAACTCACTAACGACCCCTGGAGGTCGTTCCTCACCGCCAGAAACGCTCCACGCCACCAGATACGCTCCACCTCTCGCTTTCCAAAACACCGCAGTTCCGGGTCGGAGTTTTCGCGAAGCTTTCTGGGAAATGGAGTCCTTTTCTAGAGTATTCTGGGAGTTGTAGTTCCAACTGTTTCCTGTGCGCACGCGCATTTCGATGTATGTGTCTGCTAAGGCTCTGCGGTTTGGCACTAAAGCGTGAGCCATTGTACCTGGCTTGCTTCATCTTACAACGGAGTGGGACGTGACAGGCTTTTGTCCGTTTGCAGCCTGACTATTACGGAAGCAACAGATAATCTCCGCGGAAGCAAGAGATAATCTCCGCGGCAGGGACGTGGGGATAGTTCATAAATCCCAGAGGACTTGGCCTTGGAGTCAAATCCTTGGGGTGTAGAATAGGCCAGACTGAAGGGTGCCGCGTCCACGACCCAAAGACCCACATGAGCAGGGCTCAGATCTCAATAAGCAAAACCACAACCTTGAAAGAGCTCCCAAAGAGTAACACTGAGATGGGTGGTACCCCAGACAGTGGAAAGCCGCGCGGTTCATTGCAGGAGAGGTTCTCTGTAACCCCAGTTTCATTTTGCCGCCACCACTGCGGCTGCTGCTCAGAGGGGCTGCAGGGTGGTGACACTGAGGACCCAGCAAGTACACTAGTCTGGGGAGAAGTGATGAGAGCCCACATGGATATTAGCACCGTGAACTGAGTGGATCATGGATTAGGAAGAGGAAGAAATTTAGAATTCTCAGATTTTTGGTGTGCACAGTAGAAGGCCTGCAAATATTCTTACCTAGTGACATTCTTACTTATAATCATCTCAATTCCATATGGATGAGCACACGTGCAAATCCAGTCATAGGCCATTCAGGTGTGGCTATTCATGCACATACCTACACAGCTCACAGATATACCTACACTTGTGCTATAGCTTGAATGTGTCCCCCAAAGTTCATGTACTGGAAGCTTTATTACTAATGCAAAAGTGTTGAGAATAGATACCTAATAAGAAATGATTAGGTCAAGAGGGCTCTAGACTCATGAATAGATTAATATGATTACTCAGGAATGGGTTAGTTATCTCCCTATTTGTAAGGTTTGGCCCCTCTTGCTGTCTTGATGCTATGGTGCAACAAGAAGGTCCTCACTAGATATAGCCTTTCAGTCTTGGACTTTTTGCCCATGGAACTCTGAACAAATAAATTTCTTCCCTTTATAAATCACTAGCCTCTGGTATTCTGATATAGTATCATGAAACAGACTAAGACACTTTGTGAACACACTGGCATGTAAATATAAACAGGCACGTAGCCATTTATGATCACACATAGGCCCTACCATAAACAAAGGCCCTGATAAATGTATCATCTCGGCTTAAAGGTTCTCTGCTATCTTGGCTAAGTGTGGCAACCCCATTGAATGAGCCAGGTTGATTTCTTAGGACAACTCTGTGGAAACTTCACATCTACTAGCCATCTTTTGCCTTTCATCTCTGACATATGGTAGTCCCTTTCTTGCTACACTGGACTGATGGGAAGGGGAAAGAAATGGGCTTGAAGAATTCAGACCAGGGCTTTATCTGGTATGTTTGTTGAGGTTCTTCCAGAGCAATAGTTCTGAACATAGTTTGTGTTCCTGTATTCCTCTGAGCCTGCAAAGACAATTGTGGCTCCTCTTCCTGCATTAACAAACATCTTTACATCCACACTGTTTTAACAGCAAAACTGAAACACATCTGTGGAGCCGTGATTAGGAACTTCACTCAAAGTGATCAGAATGTCCATTTCCTAGTTACCCTCTCTCTTGGCCTTTTCAGGCTGTGATACCAAAATGCCTTAGGCTGGGTAATTGAAAAACAATAGAAATTCATTGCTTGCAGTTCTGGAGTCCAAGATCAAAGGTGCCAGAAGATTGTGTGGAGGACTTGCTCCTTAGCTGGTAGCAGGGGCAACTTCTTTTATAAGGACACTAATCTCATAATCTATCCTCATGATTTAATTCCTGAAGGACCCGTTTCTTAATGTTCTTATCATGCAGATACTAGGCTCCAACCTTTGAATTTTGGGGGACACAACATTGAGAACATAGCACCCTTGTTGTAGCCTTCAAGAGGGAAGAAAATAAGGGCCCTAATCCTCCAAGGCATTAAGGGCCTCTTTCACCCATTTGTTACCCTTAACTGTGCAGCCAGGCATCCGTCGCTGCGGGTCCTCTGCTGAGCTGCCAGTCATTTAGCTGGTTAGTTGGAGAGCCCCTCCACAGCTCATACTTGCCAGTAGATCAGTTAGAAAACCAGAAGGACAATCAAATGGCTTGCAGTTTAGAAACTTAATCAGCCAACTAGCTAAGTTACTTAGGATTAAAGTTTCAGACAAATAATGGTCTATAAAAGGATCCAGTAGTCAAAAAGTCAATTTAATGTTCAGTCTGTCAATCAGAGCCAGTTGTTGAGAATGCTAAACAGCTGTTTAATTAGTGGGGCAAAAAGGCCCACAGGTAAGGTGTGAGACAATGTGGACACAGAGTGCGTCTCTTTCTGCTGAGCCTGAAGGCCATACACACCATTGCTCCTGTGTCACACAGGGTCTTCAGTGTGCTGCAAAGACGTCTGGCCTGGCGTGGTAAGCAAGAGCAGGTGGAGCTGCCACTGCACAGTGGAGTGATGGCCCTTTACATCCATACTCTGGGGACCTCCAGGCTTTAAGCCTTGGAAGGACTTCCTGGCTTCAGGAGAGCTAACCCAGACATGCTTGGCTCCGAGTGGGAGGAAGCCAGCCAGCTGCCACTAGGGAAGGATATGCCCTTCTGGGCACTGGTGCCAGGGACACAGGAGTCAAAGTCCTAGGCCCTGTGTGGCATGGAAGAGAATAGGGAGAATTGGAATGAGTGCTGTGTGTCCAGTAGCAGGAGGGGAGCAGCTGCCTGGAGTGGAGCCCCAGAGGGCGGGATCTCCCTTCGCATGTCAGGTCCAGGCTGCTTCCTCTTCAGCTTCTCTGTGGACCATGAAGGCACTGAAAGCCTCCATGCTCCCATTCCTTTGCCAAACTCTAAAGTGGGAAGGATGGAGGTCAGCCATAGGTAATACGGGAATGTGGGCAAAGGGTGAGCTCCCAGGGGGACTGACTACCTGAGGTGTTTTTGAGGTGGCAAACAAGGCTGAGCACAAAAATGGAGCGCAGGAGTGCCGAAAGAATTGTACCTCGTAATTATGCCCAGTGCGTGGGGCTGTGCATGCAGGTGACCTTTCTGGCAGAGCAGCAACACATTCTGGTTCTGGTGGCCCATAGCAACGAAAAGTCACTGGAGAGCAACTGTGGCTCCAGCCATGTCAAGCTGCCCGTGTGGCAGCAGCTTCATGATATTCTGTCCCAGGAGTTACCATCCTAGTTGGCAGGTGACGAACCCGAGATTTGGAGCTTAGGTGTCTAGTCTGAAGTCCCATAGTTTGGATGTGATAGAGAACTGGATTTGAACTTGGCCAGTGTGGTTCTTAAACTGTGTCCTGCTCTGAGGAAGAGTGCAGTGCAGATTTGCTGGCTTCTCTGGTTGTCACTCTTCTGTCAGAGGTCCTGCACAGCCGACATCCTATGGTGACACCAGGAGCCTTTTGCTCCCTTGCAGACATACAGGGAATGTGTCAGCCACTCACACCCATGTACTGCTCCTCCATCCTTGTACTACCTGCAAATAATAAAGCTGGAAAGGTAACCAGGAAGGGCCTTGTGCGTCATTTCAGGGAGCCTGAATTTTTATCTAGAAGGGTGAAGGGCCACCGAAGGGTTGTGAACGAGGCATGATATGATTTATCTTATGATGCCATGCATTTATGGGCATGTCCTGTACCATCTCTAGCTGCCAGAGACATACCTAGTATATATTACTAAGTTGCCACACATACCACAGAGGACCCAGGAGAAATGCTAACTACAGTAGCATAAGTGATTATGAGCTTGGGCCCAGGAGTGGGGCTGCTTTGACTCCCAGTTCTGCCACTTCCTAGCTGTAAAGCAAATAACCTCCACTCAGTTTCTTTCTTCATCTTAAAACTGTGGATAATAGCAATAATTTCTCAGTCTCAGAATCACTGTGAAAATGAAACGGTCATGCATACAGAGCCAGCATAGTGTGTAGCACATTACAGCTCAAACAATACAGGTTTATACCGCACGCCACACATATGTCCTGTCTGTTTCCCGTCCTTATTGTCTTTCCCCAGTCACTGCTGTGATGACAGCACATGACTTCCATGCAGGCTCTCATCTGCCAGCAGCTTGCTTCTCTTCCTGCCCTATGGTTTCACTGTGCATAGAGTCAATGGACAAATGTTCCCCTCCTCTTCCCTCAATTGAATAGTTCTGAGGCCTATTTCATAAGCCTCTCCGGAAGTTCTGTGCGGTGGAGCATGAGTCGGTTAATAAATGTGCATAATCACATCGGCTTTCCCTCTTGCTTTTTTTTATCCTGCCCTCCAATCTTGCTCCCTGGGATCGATCACACTAATGAACTACCAACACGTAAGCTTTTCTCCCTCAGACTGTGCTGTTAGGAGCACCCGGGTTAAGATAATCTATTGTAAGATGATCCTACTTTCTTGAAAATATTGCATTAGAAACAAAATAACAAAAGAAACAAAAGGAGCTAGAAATATGAATGCCCATAAGAGATGCAGGAACAGACTACCCCATAAGCAGATCCATGACGGTTCCAAGGTCAGTTTTTCCTGATTGGCTTGTGGGGGTGGGAGGGAGTAATGGGGCAGAAGTAGCGTATTAGAGGGGCCTGGGAGACTTTGTGCTCTAGGATAATCCAGGGTTCAGCCTGGTTCTGTGGCTTCCTACTGTCCATTAGATCAGTGTCCAGTCCATGGCATATGCTCAACACATGGTAAGTCCTGGTATAACAGCCCTCTGTAACTGGCTGTGAAACCTCCAGAATAAACTTATCCTACTCCTTCATATATGCACACAATTATCTCTTAGTTTCCACAGGGGATTGGTTCTAGGACTCCCTTATAATTCCAAATCGTCATTATAATACCACGATCTGTAGATTTTAAGTGTCTTATAAAAAATGGCATAGTATTTGTATATAACATATGGGCATCCTCCTTATACTTTAAATTATCTCTAGTTACTTACAATATCTAACAATGTAAATTACATGTACACAGTTGGTATACTGCATTGTTTAGGGAATAGTGACATGAAAAAATATCCGTATATGTTCAGGGAAGGCATAATTTTTCCCCAGCATTTCTGATCTGCAGCTGATGGAACCTGAAGTGGGTAAAATCTGTGGATGTAGAAAGCAGTCTGTATTTAGCTTCAAAAAAAATATAGTAGTAAGCCTCTCAAAGGCAGTGATAACCAAAGGAGGAATTTTTGGTCAGTAGATATATTAACCCTTTCCTATAAATGTCTCCAGAGTTCCTGCTCAGACAAGTGGAGAGCTTGGCCTCCAATATTTACCTGCCCTGCTCTGCAGTCTGTTGTGAGGAAGCTGCTTCTGAGACCAGGGTGCCTTCAGGAGCTTACCTGGGGTGCTCCGGAGCCCGCACTGTGACAGGAGCATGCTGAGGCCGAAGCTGGGCCGTGAAGCAGTCATAAGGCCTGGGTCCAGCCCAGGAGCTCTGACGTGAGCTTTTCAATCCCTGTTGGGACGAGACAGTGAACCTTGACGCCCTAGAAAGGAGGCTAGTCCTTGGGCCCATGACTCTTTGGAAAACGCTGGCAGCTGAGCACTGGCAGCAGCTGGGAAAAGAGGCTGTGAAGTGGGGGAATTTGAGTAACACAGCACCCACTGTCGGCTCCGCAAAGCATTTGCTAGAGGCTCTAGTCCCGAGCCGGCATCCACATTTCCCCTCTTCCTTGGTAAGTGAAGCCTGGTTTTGTTTTGTTTGTAATGATAATAGGCCTATTAAAATACTTCCCTAGAATCTTTTACAGCAGAGCTCGGCCAAGTGATCAATTCCCTACTGGTCCACCAGATGTCACTGGGAATCCAGATTCCTGATGGCAAGGTGGAGAAAACAAGTCTTAATTCGCTTTACTCACTGCACGCAGGTTTATGTTGCATAAAACCAAATGTAGACCTAAATGGTAGAGGGGCATTATTGTACATTCTGCTTAAGAACTTGGTTCTTCCAGTCAAGTGGACATAGCTTGAGCACCAGCTCTGCTGCATACCAGCCAGCTGTGCCACTCCTCAGACAAGTCCTGTCTCGCTTCCTCTTTCCATAAAGAAAAAACGACAGTAGTGTCTCAGCGGCCACCCAGCATGTTACACTAGTTTCACCACTTATTCCAGGTTGCCTTACGTTTCTTCACTTGCTAGCACTGAAAATCTTACACCCTGTGGAAACTTCTCAGTGCCAGGCAAATTGGGACAGTTGGTTGACCTATTAAAACATCCCAACTGCCCTAACTCTACAGCTGGAAGACTAGGCCCCAGGACTAAAATTTTATTTGATGCTTCCCTCTAGTGGTTGAGTCAAATATAGCACCACTGCAAAGATGACTTTTACATTGCTGTAGTTTTCTTAAAAATAGGAAGCTACAAATAGAGGCAGAATTGGGGGTATTTCTAGCCATTCAGACTTAATAATTTCTGTAACCCTACTATGTTTTATTGTTCATTGATACCAGCAAATATGGTACCTGGTAAAGAATAAATGGAATAATATAAGTCAAATAGTCCTTTCCCACAGTGTCTCACGGCAAGTGCTCTTTAAAATTCACATGTAAAGCTGGTTAGACCATGGGCTATGACTCTTGCTTTAGAGAAGTGCATTTCTTGTTTCTTTTGGAGGAAGAAGCCTTTCCTTGGAACTTTGAGGGTTTGGAAACCCTTGTAGGGGAGAACTCTCAGTTGGCACCTTTACCACTGACAGTTACCCAGGAGCCAGACCTCTGCCAAGGGTATTGCAGCTCTGAGAGGAATGGCCTGGGCCCCTCAGTGACTCAGTTTCCTCACTGGGGCCTGTCTCACCCAGCACTAGGGCATCAGAGGCCAGGAGCTCTAGCCAGTCATTCTGATGAACTTGTGGTTTCCCTTGAGCATGCTTTGTTATTCATCTGAGCTGACTTCTGGGCAGGTGCAAATGCAGGGTTACATTCAGTTGGTGGCCTTGGCAATGGGAGTGAACTGGTGCCCAGAGCCCACTGTCCTCTGTTTTCTGTTTGTGGTAGTGTTTTATGCAAAAGGGCACACTCACCTCAGCCAGGAATGGTGGGTCTATTCAGAAGGCTTTGGGAAGACAGGAACACGTATTCCTGTCCTTCCTGCATTTAGTCTTTGAGCTCTAGGAAAAGGAATCAACCAGAAAGTTTCATTTTGCTCTACCTGCAAAGACCTTCCAAATGGCTTAACAGACTATTTGTTAGGCTATTAATTGTTAATCACCTATAAATTCTTCAATTCTGTTGGGAGAATGAATACTTGTGTTAATAAATAGCTGTAGCTGCTATGAAAAAGGGTTACCTGCTCAGTGGGACTAGAAAGTCAGCATATTTGCTGGCCACTAGTTTGTTCTACGTGAAGCCTTGTAGTCTTATTTTAGTATGTTGGTTTTAAGTTTCATGCATTTTTAATGAGATTTAGAAATATGTTTAATCTATATTATGAAATATTATTCAGCTATAATATGAACTTTATCTAAAAATGGAACTATCTTCAAGAGATACTGTTAAGGGAAGCAAGTTAATGTGAAAAACTAAGACATACTGTTAAAAGAAACAAGTTAATAAAATATATTTTTAAACAGTGGTCACGGAACTTTATATCTTGGTTGCACACTTCAGTGATGGGACTTGCCAGCTGGTCAGCGCAGAGGCCGAGGCATGATAAGAGATGGGCCTTTTGGCCCTGCCCCAACCTCTACGCAAGGCCTGGAGAAGGCCTGGAGGTTAAATCGATAACCAGTTGTTTAATCAATCATGCCTGTGATATGAACGCTCCAGAGAACTCCAAAAGCAGAGTTCAGACAGCTGAGCACATAGAGGTTCTTGAAGGTGACAACCCAGATAGGACTGGGTGCACCTTACCCTTTGCCCGCACCACACACACCTTTTTCTCTGCACCCTTTGGAACGTCCTTTATAATAAACAAGCAGATGTGCTACCCTAAGTTCTGTGAGCCACTCGAGCGTATCAGTTAAATCCACAGAGAGGGTGCAGCAACCCCAGTTTATGGTGGATCAGGCAGAAGCACAGGTAAAACAATCTGTGCTTTGACTGGCATAGGAAGTCTGTGAGTGTGTGCGTGCACGGGTGCTCAGGGGGAGCGGTGCTGGGGACTGAGCCCTCAACCTGTAGGGTCTGATACTCTCTCCAGGCAGTTCATTTAGATGACACCCGGTGCAGGAATGCTTGATTGGTGTGCATGTGTGGAATAAATCCCTACACATGTTTTAGTAGCATGCTGTAAAAGAGTCTGAGTCTTGCTTTTTCTTCTTTAGAAGAACTTCATTTTTGATTTTTTTTAGTATTCTTTTCCAGTTGTGCATGTATTAATTTTAATCACAAAAACAAGAAAGCTGATACACCCTGACCTGTCGAGGACTGTCCATTAATCTCAGCTCAGTGCTGAGAATTTGCTATGAATAAAGTGGCTCAGAATTCAATTCTGAAGAAGGTGTTTTCATGTTGTGCCCACCTGACACCTGGGAGGGCAAAACCTTTATCTCTACCTTCTGGTGTTAGCCAAAATATTTACTTTTACCAACAGACACTCTGAATTGATTTATTTAAAAAGTCTTCAGACTTGATCTTATTTTTAAATCTTCAAGCTGTGCTAAGCAGTTCCAATTCAGATATATTGTGAGTAGGAGCAGACCAGGCTTGAAATCCTTGAGAGAGAATGTAATTTTCAGCACGAACCAAAGCAGTTAAAATAAAATTTTAAAATGCTGTTTCCTACTTGAAAAGAATGGGAATGACTTACAGGCACACACCATTCCTTGTACACATCAGTGTTCTTCGGAAATTTATTGATAGAAACAGACATGTTTCAATGCAACACTGGACAAGAAAACAAAGAGAAGGGGAGGGCTGCCAACGCCACTGGAGACTCACTCACGCTTTCCATGTTTCCTTGTAGAGAGCTAGCACCATTCGTTCAGGAATCACAGATTTAACTAAATTGCTTCTAATATACAAAATGCCTTAGAAATATTATTCAACCGTCTAGTAGCAAAGTTCGTCTAAAAACATATTAAAAATCAATTGGAATTTACCATTTGAAACAGATGAAAACAGTCTAAAAACTGATCCAATTTGATGGCTTGTCAAAAGGAATGAGCCATCGGTAGTCTTTCTGGAGGAAAAAGTACCTCAGTTCCGCTTCTGGCCTCCTTCCAACCACGAAGCAGGTACAGGAAATTGAGCATTACTATATAGGAATAAAAGCACATCTAAAACTTATCTTAGAAAATATCTTCCTAGACTATAAAAATACTAAATGCGATACAAAAATTTCAGCATATACAGCAAATAGACTACAGCAGACAAATACCTGAAACACACTGAAAACTCTCTTGTACCACAATCGTCATGAACATCAAGTATTATTCTAATCATATTTCTATGATTCATTCTGATTCAAATGTTTATTCTCCATCAAGTTTTGTTGTAGTGGCAGATTGCAGACCACATTCTGTGCTGCTAGCAGAAGTTACTGGAGGAGCCATTGAATAATTCTCAGTATTCAGCTGGTTCTCAAAGTGCTGCAAGTGCAAGTACAGTGGAGTCTGGTTTTTAAAACAAGGTCAACAAACTGCAGCCCGTGAGCTTTGTGCACCCCTGAACACAGCCACACTTACTCTCTTGTGTATGGTGTGTGGCACTTTCGTGTTACTAAAGCAGAGCTGGGTGGCTGTGACACAGACTATATGCAGCCTTGCAGTCTGCACTGTCTGAAATTCGTACTCTGTGGACCTTAATAGGAAAAAACTATCAACCTCTGGTTTAGATGAATCACTGCAGGAAATTTTTCACTGAATGAGGGCAAGATTCAAGATTAAGAAAATTTTGTTTGAGGTTTTGCTGGTTCCATGACAGGCCAAAAGAATATGAATTTGGCTTGACAACTTTGGGCACTGAATATTATCCTGGCATTGTAAGCCAAGCTTGGCTATGATAAAGTACCTTCATCTCTCTATAAACTGGCCATTTTGTACCGAGTAACTCACGCACTAGATTATAGCTATGTGCTTACTATTCAACCCAAGCCACCTACATGGCTCTCAAACAATTTCTAGCCTTTAAAAGTCAATACTCTTACACCCTTAGCAACACACAGAACTAGAAGTGGACTCTTCCCTGCCTTCTGCATTGGTATAGGCTCTATCGTGCTGTATCGTGTACCTTTTAGACTACTTCCATGTGACATGCGTCATAATAATTAGTACTGCTACCATCCAGGGCCACAAACATGTCCCTTTTGACAAAGTGGACTAAGTTCTCAAGAGGACACATGGGCTTGGGAGAATGCCTGTGGTGGTCCTGGCAGAAGGATGTGTGGAATGTGACATCAACTCCATTGTAAAGAATTCGCACTGAATGTTCACTGGGCTTTTCTCTGTCTTGCCAGAGCTCAAATATCAGCCTGGCTGCAAACCTTGGGAACCTGGCTTCTGAAAGGCCCAAAGCACTGAGGACTGGTGACAGAGTGACATCATGGGCAGAGTAGAGGGCGAAGATCTCATCTTTTCTCCCCTCGGCAGCACGCTGCATCCGATTGACAGTTTGATTCAGGATCGGGTGGGCACCCAGCAGCGAATACCCGAGGTACAGTTTCATCTCGCGCCTCTCCTTCTCATCCTCTATCTGATGCATTTTGATCACCTTGAAGTGCCCCATGTCGATACACCCGTTTTTGGTGCAGGGGAAGCTGATGTTATGGCAGAAGTGACAGAGCAAGGAGTCTATGGGGTTGGCAGCCCGCAGCTGCGTGGTGGGGATGTCCACGATCCTGGCCATGTCCCCATAGGTTTTCTCCAGCTGGCTGTTCTTTAGCCGCAGGAGGTACTGACGATGCTGCTCCTTCTTCAGATATTGGTTTCTCAGTGGGCAGTAACAGCTTCCAGAGCAGAAAAGGGCACTTGGCTGGTGCCTGAAATAAATCTTCTTCCAGTCAAAATCTGGGAGAAAGCCATAGAGCAAGGCCAGCCCACTCTGCAGGGTACGGCTCTTCCCAGTGGTCTCCAGGTACAGCTGGTCTGCAGACCAGTCCGTCGGCAGGAGCTTGTGTTTCTTTACATAGATGTCCCTCAGCAACTGGCCATTCTGCAAATGCTGCACGACTCCTGCAACACAGGGTGACACAAGGCTCTCCTGACCACCAGCTCAGTATGAGGCGCAGCAAGGGGAAGTAGAGTCAGTGCTAGGGTAAGACAGTATAGTGAAGCCCATTTCCCCACCATGTGAAAGTTGCAAGAATGGGTTCATCTCCACTTCTTGGGAGTGTCTGTAAAGGGGTGACCTGACTGGGGCACGGCTTTTGTGGGGTGCCTAAGACTGTCTGCCTCCTACCCTCCTGCTCCACTTGCCCTTTCTCTGGGAAACCACTGTGCCTGGCAGGGCACAGAGAGTAGAACTCACCCCACTGGGTATCTAGGCTGTGACAGGCATGGGCCGAAGTGAGCCTTCCCCTCTGTGCAGGGATGGCTCTGTGACATCTATCAGGCGGAGATGACTGTCAGTTGCTTGCCTGCAGCTTAGTCCTTCCTCACAATGTTGGGAAGTCCCCTATTTGACTTCATTTCCCCTAAACTGCCCACCGATGGTTCTCTGCTAACCTCCTGGGTGAGAGATTCTGCACAGTCCCACAAGGGGCTTCTCATCATCAAGCTTCCAGATCTCTAGACAGGATATTTTTAAAAAAGCAAACTGCAGAAGAGTATGCTTATTATGTTCCTTTCAAATAAAAAAGGGGACAAAACAAGAATGTGTATTTTCAGTTGCCCACATTTTGCATGATGAAATTTTGGAAGGAGCAGAAGAAACGATTGTCAGTGGTTTCCTGGAAATGCTGGAGGCATGGAAATGAGGGTGGATGGAATGTGGGTGGAAGCAAGAATTTTAAGTCTGCCTCTTACTATCACTACCATACTATAACGAAAAGAAAAGCCGAGGCAGGTGAAGGCAATGGAAGACAATAGAGAACTTATGCTTTAACCCTAATGACACGAAAGAGGCAGTCTCAGTAATTAGCATGAACTGGCTGAGGGTGTGAACTACACATGGGCCCTAAGTCCAGTAATGGCATTTATTCAGATGTCTAAATAATTTGGGCAATTCTACATCAAGATGAGGTGCGTTAGGCTGAAAGTCATGAGACAGAGGGAAAGAATTATCCCAGAGACTCCCTTAAGCCATAGCCTTATCTCAGCCACATAGGATGCCTGGGTTCCACTCTGACTGAGAAGCCCAAGGGCAGAATTCTTTCAGAGACCTGGCTGGGACCAACCTGGGCATCTGTAAAATAATTTGCAAAAGGGGAGCAAATCACAAGTGACAAAAATGAAGAACCTGGGTCTGACCCCAGTTCACTTCCGGGCCTATCTTATATTATGCAAAACATATTAAAGGTGGAATGCTTATTGTATGCCAGCCATTTTCCATTTAATTTCCACAAAAACCCAAAGAGGAAAGTGTATTACCATTAGTACTGTTTCTCCTTGTGACAGGAGAAGAAACTAAGGCCTTGAGCCACTCACAGTTAAAAAGTGGCAGAGCAAAACTTAAGGCCTGATCTGGCCATAGTTTTGTGTTTTTGGTCCTTGCTCACTATTTCTCCCTACATTTTCACTCAGAAAAATGAAATTCTGGCCAGTTAGGGCTTTATATCCTCTCTAAACACATCCCACGTTCTCATAACCCAGTTCACGCCGTCCTCTCTTCCCTGTCGAGAGCAGCCCACAGCAAGCAGCTCTGTCACAGGCTGCTATCCGTTTTCACCCATCACCAGTCCTGCCTCTCAGGTCTAATTCTCTGAGTCCTTGCAGCTTCCAGTGGTACAACTGTCTTTGCTGTAGCACAGTGGAGACTAGGTTGGGAGGGTCCTATTGATCTGGCCACCTCCTGTGCTCAGCCACTGCCGAGGCCTTCTGAGCCAAGGAGGCACTGTGGGGTGTTTCGTGGAGCCAATTATAAATGAACATTATAACAACTATGTATTTTTTTTTGTACCAGGGATCAAACTCATAACTGTGCCACTTACAAGGCAGGTGCTTATGCCACTGAGCTAAATCCCCAGCCAACAGCTATGCATTTTTTTCAGCTATGCATTTTTAATGACATTTAAAATAGAAGATAAAAGTGACCATTAAAAGGATAACAGAAATGGGAATAAATGGAACTGGAAGAAAAATGACTTTTTGAGTAATACTAACCTAGAAAATGAAGATGGTGATAGATCATTTGAAAAGAAAAGTCTAAGTGAATGATGTACCTCTAATTGTGAGACTCCTCCCAACTCCTTCTCAGATCCCCTCTACCCTGTCTACTATACCTCATCCTGACTCCTCGTGACAGCTGATGAACCTCAGGGGGCCTCAGTAGAGTCCTCAAGCATCCGGGCTTGCTAGTTCTTTGCTAGCTGTGGCTAAGGGCTGTCACTGTGTCTACAGATACAGCAAAAAGCTAGAGCGAGAGGGGGTGATGAAATAGCCCCAATTCCAGTCTCTCTAGACTCCTGGTCACATTCTTGCCCTTGGAATCTGAGTCATCCCAAATCCTCTTAGTAAAATGCCATTCTCTCCCGAGTTTGTGTTGTTTGTAATCAGGTGCTCTAACCAGCAATTCTCAAGTGTATTTCTGCACTCAGGAGGGGTAGGGAGTCAAAATTTCCACAATAACGTGGAGAGGGGTTCATGGCACCTAGCGGGTAGGGACTGGGGCTAGGCAGTCTCCATGTGAGACCAGTGCTCTGTCCATGTGACTTCTGAATGTTACACTCAACATTCCCTTGGCGATAAGCTGTCTAAACAGTTTAGCCCAGAACCTAATGCTATTTTGCTTGTTTCCATAACATAAATTATTTCTGCATGATTTTAACATCCACTGAATTTCTAGAAATGCAATATAAGGGGCATTTGTACTTTGTTTTGAGCAGAACTTCTCAGAAAAACCACAAACTGACACAGTGCTAGAGTCACTAATCCACATTCCTTGGTTATCTGTGTTTGTGGTTGCCACAGTCAGATGTAAACATCTGATTACGTCACTGTATTTTCTAGTGTAGCTATTCCCAAGCATTGATGCTGACACATTGAATTAAAACATAATTTTTTTTTTTGCTTGTTACAGGCTACTTGATATAACTTTTCTAGAAAAATAAAGCTATAAAATGGTTATATAGAAATTTCACTTCAGGGTAGCTGAGGGAGAATACAGTATCTGAGAACGCTTATGAATCAAAGAGGGTGCTGGATGTCATGGGATGAAAACCTTTGTTATAAACTAACCCAGAGCAAAAACTAATTCCCAAAGGTTTCTAACCAACTCTTCGGCCACTGCTGGTCCTCCAGAGCCTTCTGCTTGTTGCCCACCATCACCCCCCAATCATTACAGTTTTTGGAAGCCTGGCAAAACCCAGTAGGGCCAACTAGGGGACCGAGATACTTCTTTGATCTAAACTGAGATCCCATAATGCTGATGGGGGGGGAAATAACCCCAAAACAGTGGGCAACTGGTCCTCCTTGTTCTCTCACAAGGGTGCTGACCCAGTGAAGGTCCTCTGAGGGTCCAATCTGTAGCACCAGGAACCTGGAACCTCTTGGGCACCACCTGTCTCTTCTCTTCCTGTTAAAGGCAACCCCACAGTTAACTGGGTGCACAGTGGTGTGACCAGGCTGCAGAGGAAAAGCTGGGCTTCTGTGAGGACCTGACCTGGCCATTCAGACTCCAGGCACAGCAGGAAGTGGTCACACGACATCTCCCTGAATTCTTGTACATTAAGTCCTAGGATGTGAGATTATTTAAGTAAATTATAGTCTATCCTCAGTGGAATAATATGCAGCTGTCACGATGATGCTGTAGGCAAACATTAACAGGGAAAGGTGGGCTACCAAAGTGTGTTCAGAAAGACACTCATGTACATGTGTGCACCTAAGTACGGGAAGAAAATTACTGCTCAGGGTCTATTTTGGAGGGTGCTTTCTTTGCTTTGTTGTCTTTATAATTTCTCTTCAGAAACACGTATTGCTTTTGTAGCAAGAAGAAAGATCATTTTAATTTGAAGAAAGCAGTTGTTTAGTGAGATACCCTTGAGCCTCTGAGCTGTTCGCACTGCCACCTCCTTCTCCCCTCTGATCCCCACACCCTCTCCCTGACAGCACTGGTTCCAGTGTTTACAAACAGAAAGCCCAGGAGGGATGGTGGTCACACCTACCTGTCTGTGTGAGCTCTCCCATCTCACACAGAGGGTGGTTGGGGTAAAGAGGCAGGGAGTTTAAAGGGCTTTCGAAGGAGGTTCCAGATCCTTTTGACATGTGACTGATGAAAGCTTCCAGTTTGGGGTGATAGGGTTTCCTAGAAAGAAAACAGAGAATTAGTAGACTCCCAAACAGTGAAACTGCAGCCCACAGTCATAGATTCTCTCAATCACTTTTAAATTCCAATTTCCTTGTGATGTGACTACACATAGAATGCCCTCTGCAAGGATGCTCTGAGACGCTCACCTGTGTTGTGCATGGTGCTGCGGGCTCAGCTCTGCCCTCCAGCTAACTGTCCGCTGCCGGAACACACCAGCGCCCCCTGACAAGTGTGCCCTTGGCCTCAGGTATACCCTGCCACCGTCCTCCAGCCCTTTCTCCTTCATCCTCATAGCCATGGCCTGCACCCTGGCTGCGGGCAGCTTCATCTCAGTGATGGTAGCAAGTCCCTCACTGACCTTCCTGCTGTTAAATCATGGCCTGTTCCATAGTGAGAGGAGCTGACCACACAGACAGCCCTTCCATGATGCCGTGTACTGAAAAGAGCTGGCATGGCCTGTCCCTCTGTTCTGGACCTACCTTGCTGGGCATCCTCCCTCAGGGGCTCTCTCCACTCCAATGTGGTCCAGGCCACGTGGAGCCAGCACCTTCTTTTCAATGCACAACACTCCTTATCCTTCACCTGTGCCAAGCCCCTATTGCACCATTTGGTTTTCTTTTTTTTAAAGTGCTAGGCATTGAAACAAGGACCTTTAAACTGAGCTGCATCCTGAGCCCTTTTAAAAAAATTAAGTTTAATACAGGATCGTGCTAAACTGTCAGACTGGGCTTCAACTAAAACTTTGTAACTCTTTAGAGCTGTGCCTACAGATTTACAGTTGAAAGCCAGTTTATTTATGAGATTGGAGATTATATTTCTGCCATAGGCATACATGTTAGCCAAGCTATAACTTACGTTTCAAGCTACTAGCATATAATTTCCCCAGATAAGGAAATGACCTGTTGATATACACACCTTTTCTTTGAATAATGAAATGGCCCATGAATGTGTCTACATTTTCCAGCTACACTTGTGGGAAGACAGAGTAATTGACAATTTCGTTGAATATGAATCAGTGTATGAAAAGCAGCAAAAATAAATTGTTTTAATGGCAAACCCCTGCTGTCTGAAAGGCCAATTTAACTCTGGCAATGCTTTATTAACTGCTGCCAAAATGAGTTTATTATCTTTCAAAAACATAAAACTCAAAAAATCCATCTTTTTAAAAATACGTTTTAAAATTATACAATACTAATTGAAACATACAGTAGAGTCTGACAAATTGCCCTGGATAGCTGTAGGGAATTATGTCGCTCCATAAAAATAGAAGTCTTTCATTTTGCCTGAGGCTAATACATATAAACGTTTGCAAACTAGGAAGTAAAATGTCCGACTGACAATAAGGCTGCCAATATGAATCCACATCTGCGAAGATCAACAACTAACAAGGCTCAAATGTCCTGGCCCAGGCCATTGTTTCAGGCTAGTGAGTTTTGAGGATCTGAGAAAGCTTTGTTGCCACTTTTAGAAATGGAATATCACTACTGAAGGTGTTTGCTGAGGCCCATGTTTTCAAGGCATGTGACTATTTAACGATGCTTCAATGTCTAATTGTATTCATTACAATTTTTTTTTAATGGCATGGAAAGGTGAAGATTTGTGGAGGAAAAACTTCCATTGCAGAATAGGTAACAAAGGGATGAATCTTTTTAAGAGGAGGGGGTTAGGTAAACTGAGTACCTGGACCTGCTCTGGACCTGAGTGGCCAGGCCCTGCTTGCCAATTCCTGGCCCTATCACTGGAGCCCAGAGGGTACTCCGTGCAGGGTTGATGCCCTGGTGAAGTGCAGGAATGAACTCAGCTGTGCAGCATCCTATCCTCGAGTACTGCACACCAGCATCAACCTTCCACTGTCTGTAACGATGAAGGGTGTGAGTTCCCATAGGACTTGTTACAGCCCGCAGAGCTTGATGGAAGTATCAAAAACTAGTGCCGTGCAGGTGAGAGCACTAGTTGTACACTAAAATCTTTTCTCCTCTTTTTAGGAACTTGGTTATATCCCACTGCTGAGATCACAGAGTTAGGGGGAGCCACGTAACTAAGTATTTACCCGTTGAATGGAAGGCTGCCTGTCCTTTCTGAGCTGAGACCCTTTCCCATTCTCTTCCTTCTCTCAGGCCACTGTTTTGTCATGGCAGCAACTGAGGCCACCAGCAACATCCTGCAGGATGGTGGAAGCAACATTCTGGACCCCAGAAAGACCAAGTGGAGCCATTACCTGACAAGAACATCATCTTCTGACTTCATGCAAAGATATCAACAGCTTTTTTAATCTTCCCCATGGTACTAGTAATTGAACCCAGGGCCCTCACACCATATTCCCAGCCCTTTATTTACAATTTTTTTTTTTTTCGAGACAATCTCTTGTTAAGTCACTAAATTACATAGGCTGGGCTTCAACTCAGAATCCTGCTTCAGCCTCCCAGAGTGCTGGGATTACTATTGTGCCCAGCTAAAAAACATCTGTGTTATATAAGGTAATGTATTCTTGAGTCTCACTGTTAAAACAGCCTGGATTTACTAATACAGACAGGATTATATTTGATGATGGATTTTTGTTCACACTGAATTGTCTTAACTGTGACTCCATTTGAAATCTGTTTTCATAGTCAAAATTGAAAAATGAAGTGTTACTATTTTTTTACATTTTATTTAAAGAAAAACTAAAAAAAACAGAAAACGGGTAGAAATAATACATACTTTCAAAAAAAAATAAACAGTAAGAAATCACTAGTTGATGATTACATATTGTCCTCTTACAAATAGTTGTTCAAGATATCAAAAGTGAAACATCCAAAGCGGGGATTCAAACAGCAAGACTGCAAACAGTTCTGTTCAACTATCCAACAAAAACTTAGTAATATGATTATCAATCCTATATGAAGTGTGCTACTAAAAGCCTTCAACTCTTTCTCTTTAGAGTCCTTACACTTTTACATGCGTGGTTCATATCTATCTATGGCACAAAGCTACAGCCAGAGCCCCAAGACCAACCTGCATCTGACCCATGTCTGAGTCTGCACAGGCCACTGAGAAAGGGGGAGACCAGGACCGCTCATCACAGTGAGCATCAGTCAGCAGGTGCCGCCCACCTGGACACTGCATCAGTCGTCACAGCAGGTTTTAAAACCTGAAGCCAATGAAAGAACCTGTTCCTTCCAATTTCAATACAGTGAAATTCTAAGCACGTACACGTGGTACCCTTTTCTCACCTCTGCACCTCTTGCTCCACACGCCAGGCTCTCTGTCTGCTTGTCTGTCTGTCTTTCTCTCCCTCTCTCTCCTTCTGTCTTTCTTTCTGTCTCTCTCCCTCTCTTTCTCACCCTTACTGAGGTGACATGTGAGCTGAGATGCAGTGAGGGAGGGAACTGGCCAGACAGCTGTTTGTGAGGAGTTGCCCCTGGCAACAGGAACAGTAGAGTGTCTGCGTGCAGCACAGAGAGCTGGGCATGGAGAAAGGTGAGGCCAGTGGCGGAGGGGGCCCGATGGAGAAGGAGCCTGAGGAACGTGGGAAGCCATGTTTGCAGGCTGAGGGTTTCACCTCTGAGCACTCCTGAAGCAACATGAACATCAGCAGCAGCTGCCAGCCCGTACTTGCAATGTGGCTGGCAGAGATCTTTAACCTATTGTCTCCTCGCTGTCTAGCTTGCTGTCTTGGGACCTTTGTGCCTGAGCCCTGATGCATCAGATGGCTCAGCCTACACGCTATACTGGGACCTGGCGACACTGACTCTGGGGGCCTCAACATACCAGGCTGAGCCCCACCTGGCTCTGCCCTGGCTGACTTCACTAGCTGAAGGACCATTTCCCACCATGCTACCAATTCACACCTGCATTCCCCTCTTCATGCCCTGGCTTCCCCTCTTCCTGTCATCCCTTCAATGTGCCAGGCCATTTCTACGTCTACGTCTTGCTCTTCCATTTCTTTCTCCACTGCAGCTGTCATTTCCACCTGTGATTCTCATGCTACCATTAAGTATAGCTTACCAGGTACCAGGACCTGGCCCATCTATGGAGAGATATGTGGGTTCCCTGAAGTTAGCGAAGGTCTCTGCTCTGTGATCCGCAGAACCCTGCTCTGCCCCTTCTCTTGCAGGCCAGCCAGCACTGGTTCTGTTGGCATTCACACATTCGTTCGGCTATTCTAGCCCCAGGCCTTGCACTTGCTGCTCCTTCCATCTGGACATTCACACCCAGATCTTTACAGGGCTTCCTTTTACTTCATTTACAACCTGTTCATGTGCTGCCTCCTGGCTTATGAGCCAGACGGTACCTAGCATATGACAGGAACATAAAACTAAAATATGCTGAATTGTGATTAAGGTCAGTATTTTTCTTTTTTGGATATAGAGAAGCATATTTGATGCATATTTTATGAATATAAAAAAGGCATTTACTAAACACAGTTCTATACATGGCTAACGACCTTAATGCTGGCTAAGCATAGGACTATGAAAGCAAAAACGGCATCTGTTTCATAAAGCACATGGCACTTGTGGACAGGCAGCTTCCACTAGAAAACCCTTGAGAGGCATGGGATGGGCTGATGCAGGCACAGCTGGGCAGCAGTCGATCTGTTTGGATAATGAGCTTCTGGGGGACTGAGGTCAAGGCTCCCCCACCTGCTGGCCCAGACAGCCCCTTTCCTGGACTAGAGTAACGGGCACCCCTCTGTGCTACACTTCCCATTAGGAGGTCACAGAATTATCAATTGAGGAGCAGCTGGAGAGACAGCAGGCACTGCCATGACCCAGATCCCACAAGCTGGGACAGCTGTGGGTCCAAAGTGGGTCCACTGCCCTGGGACTCCTGCTCACGCTAAGTTTGTGTTTACAGGAATAAGTCAACTTTTATTGTTTAAAAATGCAAAGCAATTAAATGACACAGAGTACGGTGGTCTTCCTATCTGCAGAGGTTATATTCCAAGATACCCACAGTGCTGAAACTGCAGGTTGTATCAAGCCATGTGTGTGCTCTATTTTCCATATATGCATGCATATCATACAGCTTAATTTATAAGTTAGTCACCTATGATATGGTTCAATTCATAAAAAATCAACAACAAACCAATAATAGAAGAGAATGGTTGTAATAATATATGGTAATACAAGTTAGGTAAATGCATTCTTTCTGCATTCTCTGAATTTTCCATTTAGTATTTCTGGACTTCTGGTGACCACAGGTAACCTAAACTGTGGAAAGCAGGATCCTGGATCAGGGGGATACCATAACTAGACATGCACACTGCTGTATTGCACAGACCATTTAAAGTAGCTCCCACAAAGGCAGCAAGGTCAACACAATGATTACGAGGAAGAGGGAAATGACACAGGCAGCCAGAGTGACTGAGTCTCTTAAACAGGAGCTATGCACGTAGCTCCTCAAGAGGGTCCTGCCACTGAGATGGCCACAGAAAGGGCCTACGGCTCTGACTCCATGAGGCTTTTGGGGGGCCATCTAGATGCAAGACACAATAAATGTGCAGCAACTCTTCGATGTGGGGGCTCCAGGGTGAGCCTGGTGAAATGAAGCAGTCAGACCCTGGAGGAGCCCACAGTCTGGGGAGGGTGAAGACAAGTGTAAGCCTTGCTTTCTGCCAGGAGACTCTGGCCATTGAGTCCCTCTCTGGGAACACACAGAGTGGCCTGTAAGACCTTGTAACAACGGCTAGCTTGCCTTGGGGGCAGACACCTGGTCTATGTCAAGCCTTTCAAATTCTCCTTTCTGGGAATATGTAGCCCAGCTAAGAAAGGGGCAGATGCTGGTTGCTGCTGGGACAGGAGCTAATTGTTGTCCACATAATGCCTGAGGTGGCCTTGTGTCCTCCAAGCTCAGAGTTCTAGTGGTTTCTACCTCCTGTGGCTGTTCAAATGACCAGTTCCAGCCAGAGAGCAATGGTATGGCTGTGCCCGCTGTTTGTGTGTCACCCTTGTGCAGGAGCCATGCTAATCTTCTCTGTATTGTTCCAGTTTTAGTATACGTGCCGCTGACGTGAGCACTGCACCAGCTGTTCACACAGTGGAACTCTGCACTACTGAATGGACAAAAGCCACTTCCCTGAGTGGGGCCCCCAACCCCACCCCACATCTCCAGGGTCCAGAAACTGAAGGGTTAAGGCCCTGCACAAGTGACCTCCCCTACCACTTGAGAGGTGGCTCTCAGATCCTGGCTCTGGCCTTGCACACTGTGACACCCTTGCTGTACAGCTCCCTGCTCAGTGTGAGCGGGACATGGTTAGCAGTTGATAGAGCCACTCCAGTGTGAATACACCAGAGGAGGTTTCTCAGAGGAGAGGGAGTCTCCCAGGGCCTCAAAAGGGCTGTAGGAGCTGGTCAAACAGGGCTGGAGGACAGGGAAACACAGCAGACAAAAAGGCACGAAGGGAGGGGACCCAGCAAGAAGTGGGGACTGAAGAGCAGAGGATCTCAGGAGAAAGTCTGGAACTAAAGGCCAGAGGGTGGGGACTCAGCCTGGAGGAAAAGCTGTAGCCGCAGTCCTCTGGGCGTGCTGAGTGTGCCGGATGCCCCCGCTGAATGTAAGAGAGAAGAGGCAGTACTCAGATGGCCGGCACTGTGAGGCCAGGGTGAGGGAGGGGCTGGAAGAGCCTCAGGATGTTTTTACATAGAGGGCCTCGCTTACTCTTCTCTACACTGGAAGCCAGCAAAGAGTTAACCTGAAGCCCCCTGGATTGATGCCATTTTTAAAAAAGCCTGGGATGCAGTGAGACAATGCACAGTTGCAGCAGGCTGGGCCTACCCAGGGCAGGCTGGCACTCCATGAGCATTCCACGGGTGTTCCCCAGTGGGCACCGCCTTCTATCTCCCAGCCTCACTCTGTAAACTCTGCTAGGGATGCTATGTGCCTCTAGACACGTTCGATCAGGCCAGGCCCGTCAATTTATAGGTATCTGCACTTCTAATTTTAGGGTGTGCCGTTTTCATACATGCAATTTCCATTCTCTGTTCAATTGGTTTTCATCCTAAGGGCTTTCAACTGAGACCAAACTGTCTCGATAGCTGTGAAAAATTAAATGGCTGGACTACTCTCTCACATTCCTATGTCTTTGCAATTGCCAGCACACCTTCCCCAGTATCATGTCTCTTCCTCTCCCCTTTAATCCAGCAACACCTCCATTTCGGCAGTGGGAGGCTGAGCTCAGAGAAACCTAAAGGACTTGCCCATTACCCCAGGGAACAGCTGAGCTGCACTGGAGGACTCATAACCCTGTGTTCACTGCACTGCATCCCAGTTTTCCCAAGATGAAAAATAGCAAGATGAGAAAGTGGACCTCAGACTGGCTGGAACCAATCCTCAGTTTACCTGTGACATTGCCTCAAGCATCTGTTCCTGCCTCAGTCTTTTCAGCTTACAGGGGCATTCAATGCAGCAGTGGCTGCTCTGAAGGCCAGGCTCCTCAAAGGGGATGTACCGACCAAGTGCAGGTCCCTTCCTTGCCCTGTAAATCTCCAGGGGAAGAAGACAGCAGACACTGGAAAATGATTTGTAGAAGGAGAAGTGCAATTTACCTGTTGGCCACCAGAGTGCAGTCGATTTCTGGCCTCTTTGTTTTGGGAATGGTGTACAGGGGGTACCTGTCCCCATGGCGAATCAACACTTGCACGGAGATCAGCTTAAAATGATGTGGGGCGTGGCCTGGAGGAAAGAAGCACATTTTCTGGTCATCGTTTAATAAATATCAATCCTTTTAAGAAGTGCCAAGGGAGAGCTGGTCATACCCCTGTCAGAATCAGGAGGACGCAGCAGGGAATGCTAAGAGCCTGCAGAGTTGCTGCCTAAGGGCCCAGGACCACTGTGCTGGGAGAACTTTGTGAGGCGGGACATAGGAAAGTCCATTCCAGACCTCCTGGACGGGGCAGGGAGGTGCTGGGGTGTGGTGCAGCTGAAGGCAGAGAGATGGGCAGACTATTCACGCAGCCTCACTCACAAGCAGAGTGCGGAGGCTCGCGGGCATACTAGAAACAGTAGCCTGGGCTTTAAATCCTTCGTGAAACAAGGCATTGCACAAAGACATACTCCACATCATCCCTGACACATGCTCATGAAAACCAAAGATCCTGGAGAAACTGCGCTCTCCTGCACCTGCACGGCAGCACACCAGCGGGCAGCCTGTGCACACCCTCAGTCTACCCCAGCTGCACTGTGGAAAGCACAGTAGCTTGGGGTCAGGCCTGAGCGCCTAGCCAAGGTCATCTCTCCATGTTGGTGATGGCACCCTGGAGATCAGGATAATGGTAAGCATTCAGGGGCTACTCGTGACCTGGGTGCTGTTCAAAGTACACAGGCACTGCCAGTCACCCCATTTCACAGAGGAGCTTTCGAAGACTCAGGATGCCATCCCAGGGTACAGCCTAGGAGCAACTGCAGAATCATAGCCAAAACCGTGCTGCTTCTAACCACTGAGCTCTGCTGCTTGGAGAACTGATCTCAAAAGGAGCCCGCCTGGGTATCAAGGCTGTGTGGAGTGGCACAGCCTGGCTTACCTTCCATGCTGCGCTCAGCCACATTAGGGATGTTACAGTACAGAAGAGCTTCGTGAATGGGGCCTGGAACCCCGGGCTCCATCACTGGGTCAGGCATGATCCTCTTCCGACTCTTGCTGCTCGCTCCATTCTTAGGTGCCGACACAGGGATTAGGTGGACTGCAAGGACAGCAGAGCAGGTCACGACAGTGCAGTCATCAATGGGCAGGCCAGCTGTGGCAGCCTGAAGTGGGGCTGAATAACACTGCTAACTGTTCTGTCCACAGAAGCAGGGTGGGTCTGAGCTTCCCCCTCCATCGGGGCCCTCAGCCCTTGCACCCCTGCCTGTCTCAGCATGCCTCTCTCTTCTCCTAAGTAAGTAGAAATATGGCACTGGGGACAGCCCAGAAAAGTGGAGAACATGCACCTAACTCTTTTTCTTTTTTTCTCTCATTTTTAAAATATTAGGGATTGAACACAGGGCCTGACACATGCTAGGCAAGTGCTCTACCACTGAGACCCTCCAGTATTTTTTCTTTTGTTTTTTGAGATCAGGTCTTGCTAAATTATCCAAACTGGGCCTAAAGTTACTTACAGTCCTCCTGCCTCGGCTTTCTGAGTAGCTGGGGTACAGGTGTGCACCACCATATCTGGCTCTACTCTAATTCCTTAGGACCTGACGGCCTCATCCTGATACCCTTTCTGTTCTAGTAACAGTAACAAGGAGGACAATCTCATCCACAGAGCGCCTGTTAAGTGCTCAAGGTGAGTGTTCAACCTACCTCAGTGCCTGTGCTCTCACTGGTCCCAAACACAGCATCTGCCCACTGACCCTCATGAGACCACTATGCAGAAGGGTGGTAAGGACCTAGCACGTGGCCAAGGTACACAAGGCCTTGGCCACACTCATGCCTTTGTCTCCTGGCCAGCCCTTCCCACCCTATCTCCTGGAGTCAAGCGTGGGGCTTACAATCTGTTATGTTTGTGCATCTAGCACCCCTCCCTTTTTTTTGGTCAGGGTGCCCTCCTCCTGTGGGATCAGGCTGACTGCCAGTCACAGTGTCCCCATCCCCGGGTAGGATGGGCATGAGACTTGAGTCAAAGAGGATATGGTGGGCAGTTGTGCTTTTTTTCTTTGCAGGAGGTGATGGACACCACTAGACAGGCTTTTGCTGCTGATGGATGCTGGCCAACAAGAATGGTAGCTGGGGCTGCCCCAGTCTCCTGTTCCTCCCCAGACAACCCCTGTCTCAGGACTCCCAATCTTCCCATCTTGGGGAACATCTTTGTAGCATCTCAGATTTTCTAGAACTCTACACAATGACTTTGTATCCCGGCATCTATGCACATAAATAAGGGCACTCATGATCTACCTAACTTTTAAAAGGCATTAATCACCAGCCTATATGTAATGTATTAATATATATGTTCATTTTTTGAATAGCAGTTAAAACAGAGACCAATCACTAAAACAGTTTAAGTTCTCTAATTCTTCTACATAAATATTTACTACTTCCTTTTGGTCACTGATGCCATAGGCAAAACATGCCACAAACAAGGAAAAAAGACAAACAATATACTGAGAAGAAATATTTGCAACATACAGAATGATAAATGATTAATATCCAAAGTCCATAAAAGCCCTCAGCTGAAAAATTATTAAAGTGTATGAACAGACTAATTACAGATAAATAAATACTAATACTAATAAACATGAAAAGATGCTCAAGTTTATTCATAATTAAAGAAATACAAAGTGAAATGAATAATGACTGTTTTCCTTATCAGACTGCAAAATCATGTTTTAATGATAACATCCAATAGTAGCAAGAGTGTGAGAAACTGGACACTTCTGCACACTGGAGGCAGCGTGCAAACTGGAACAAGCTTCTGGAAAGGTTTGGCCTGCGTTTTGTATGTATATTAGCCCCAATTCCACTCCTCTATGCCTCAGAATCTATTAAAAAAAAAACCGTATCAACTTCCATTTTCAAAGATGTAGTAGGGTCAAAGAGACTGACTTCAGTGTTGTTTATAATAACAAAAAGAGGAAATAACCTAAATATCCATCCTTAGCAGAATAGAATGTTTCCTCCAAAACAGGTAAAAAGAATGGAAAAATAAATCAGAGATAAATTGGCTGAAGTGAATGAACCAAGTCACTGCATACTAATAGAATCCTTTTTGTACAAAGAAAAAACAGTATAAATATTTACGCATTTATTATGTAAATGCGCAGAAAAGTGTCTAGAAGGATATCCCTCATGACATGGATGGTTTCCTCTGAGGAATGGATGAAATGGGGTGTAAAAAATATTTTTATTTGCTTTTGTATGTCTACATTTTTATATACACACCACATGTGTCGTATAAATATACTAGATGCAGGTTTCTTGTATTGTACATATATTTCTACAATGTTTATAGATATACACATGTCTTACATGCATTATTTGTGTTATTAAAACAACAATCGAAAGACTACAGCTCAAAACTAGTTTTGGCTACAACTAGCACTACTTTCTTCCCATAACTGAAAGACGATGGAAAGGCTAACACACAACTCGGGTGTCTGGAGCTAATTTACTACTGGGGATTTAGTGTCAGAGGCTATGGAACAGCAGATGTCTCATAGCGGTGGCTGAATGACCAGCCCTGTGGCTGGGTGGCACCCTCAGTCCTGGGCTATATGGAATCTATATCCGGGCCCTTGGCCATGCCTGTGGTGCACCCTCTCTGTTCATGGGCCTGGGGAAAGGTGCAGTTAAGGCCTCACAAGACAAGTGGCAGAGGGACAATAGGGGGCAGCATGGATTCTTGGATGTCCTGGCTCATCTATTAGCACATGCAGTGAGGCCCTTTGGAGGTGGCATTTGGGAGCCATAGTAGCTGGCTGCAAATGACTATGCATGACTCCAGGAGGCAGTGGTTTAAAAGTCATAGATAAAGATCTGGCAATTGTCAGAAGGAGGCCTTCCATCTGGGGAGATTCCATCTACTGTTTCCTCTGATATCTCTGATCATTGGCCTTGTTCACTAGTTCAGCTTGTTGAGATCACCCTGTGCTATGTGTGCCTTCCAGTCACCAGGACACTATCAGTCCACAGAGGCCTCTGTGCCCGGCCCTCCAGCTACAGGCTAGTATTCATAGGTGGCTCTGAGGCCCAGACACAGAGGGTAGGGCTGAGAAGTACGCCCAGCTCCACCCAGACCCTGACCCACAACTTGGTTTTGAGGTACTTGGAGCCAGCCCTGCTCATGTTTCTCATCCCTGCCCACTGTTTGCTCACAACTCTCCCCGCATCCCACACCGCTTCCCAATCTGACCAGTGCCACAACTGTGCCTGGAGCCATTTCTTCCAGAAAGCCTACCTTGAATCTGCAAGGGGTTTCCACATCCCTCTTGTATGAGCCCACCCAGTTCTGGCTGTCATTAGCCTCACACAACAGTATGCATAAGTGGGAGTGTCCCAGTTTGTCACCCCACCATCCCAAACATCCAGAGAGCCAAGACCGGGTCTCTTGCACATTTATATCCATCACTGATTAGCAGGGGACAGGTTTTCCAAAAATGCTTGCTGCACTGAAAGTCTGCGCTGATCCAGGTACTGTGTTCCATGCTTTTTTTTGTACTGAGGATTGAACCCTGGGTTTTCCCATTGAACTACATCCTCAGCATTATTCTTATTTTTATTTTTTTATTTCAAGATAACATCTTGCCCAGGGATTACAGGTGTGAGCCATGTTCCTGGCTTGTCCTGTGCTATTCCTGAACTCTCTTATCAATTCCTTATGTAAGCATGAAGTACATCCTGGAGACAGGCTGTGCAACCCAGGCCAACATGGTGGACAGGAGACAGCAAGCTGGCAGCAGGCAAGCCTCTGTTCCCCTGGAGACCAGGCTTAGTTAGCCCACGCAGGGCTGACCCACAGGCAGGAGCCGGCAGGAGCAGGTCCCAGCAGGCTGCCGCTGCCTCTACCCTAGCACTGCACCCCTTACCACACAAGCCCCCTGGAGCTGCCCTTCTTTGCTGACTGAGAGACAGATGTGGAAGCCGGGTGGGAAGACAGGACAGCCGGGCCCAGGGACTCTGGTTCACTGCTTATCTCAGCAGGCTTTGTCCCCAGCTCCCCCAGTTGCCTCATGGAACAATGAGAACTTCTGCTGATCCTAAGCAGAAGAGAGCAGCTCAGATGTCCACGGGCAAGGGAAATGGACTGTGGGGCATTAGGTGGGAGGGTGGGCAAGTCAGTAGAAAGGCACAAGTTTCATTATATAAACAGAAAAAAACCTTGCATCTAAATAAGTGCCCTGGGCCCACAGTGCCACAAAAACCAATGTGAATAACACAGAGGCGTCTTTTACTGATAATTAATCTGTGTCAGAAGACACACCTTTCTCTTTGATGTGATTACAAGCTAAAGGGAGCTTTCCACCAGCTACCCCATCTTCATTTCTTTCATCCTGTCCACATATCTATAATGCTATTATGTAAAGATACCAACAAGGTCTCGATTTCAAAGATCATAACAGCAGCACAGGTAAATCAGGCACAGGTAAACCAGATACCAACAAGGTCTCAGTTTCAAAGAAATGGCAGAGAACGTTAACTCAAAGGCATCTTCTTGGGCAGAAGCAACTAGTAAATGTCTCCATCCCACTCACCAAATGCACAAGGGTATTTTTGCTAGCATTATTAGCAGACACCCCCAAAGCTGTGACTCAGATTCAAGCCAAACTGACCCATGCTGCTTTTTTCAGCACTGCCCCTCACCCCAAGAAGAGAATCCATAAGCCAGGCATGGAATTTTAGGAGCAGATCAAGGGGCCCCGCTGAGGTCCTGCAGCCTGCAAAGAAAGCCTGCTAACTAATTCCTTAGGCTTAGTGCCTATGTATCTGTTCATGCAGTCTCTGCCATTCATTATTCAGTAAGAAATGAGCAGAAAGCATTTCTACCATAAGGAGAAAATGGCCTTGTCAGTCATGGTGCCCCCTGCATTCCCAGGCCACTGGTTTTGGGAATGGCTCAGATATAAAGGCAATGTTGAGAATTCACTACGCGTGGTCAACAAGAGTCTCAGGCAAATATGATCTAATAAAGCCTTGGCCCAGCAGCCAGGACTATGAATTATGAGGAGATATTTCATTTAATAACAATTTCCATTCTTGAGTTTTTGT